GAGTACAGGAGATGCAATAGCCACTCAATTTATTACATTGTTCAATATATAATTTCAAGAGTTTCTTATATCATTGGAAATCACCAGTAAAATATCAGTCATTAATTGAGTCTATTTAGTAGCAGTTTGAATAAATGGTTGACAACTTAGCTTTTGATTCTTCCACATCAATGATAATTTCATCTCTGAATCAGAACTTAAAGCTTAAGTCATTGCAGAACAATTCTCATCAAATATTCAGCTAATTTATTTATCGATTCAAACCCATCATTCTTTAGCATTCCAAATCAGTTCCATAAAAGCTTTGACTGTTGCTTCAGTTTTTATCACTTTATTTTCAATTCAAAAATACTGTTTATTAATTTTTACCTGAAGAGGAAACTCTTTTTCGCACCAAACCTTCATTATTGCAATCAATATTGTTCATTTTACTTTGAATTACAACTGGAAAGACAGAAAGCGTTGAAAAGCTGCTAATAATCATTGAATCATTAAAGCAAATTGGAATAATTTTGAAGCAAAAATAGTTCAATTTCTGGCATCTTTAAGCACTTTTAAGCTCAACTTAGTGGTTCTTAATGTACCTTTAACTGTCTAGCCAATAAGTTAATTGTGAAGATCAATTGAGAAGACAATTTACTCGTAAAGACCATTCATTAAAGATATTATTGCTCTAAATGGCAAATTAAAAGTTGAAAACAAGTAAAAAAACAGAAATAATATTTAAAGCGAAAAAAATGGCCTTTTCTTTTAAGGCCATCTTTTCCTATGATTATTAGACTGAAATTGATAACTTGGTAAAGGCCATTATCGACAATTAAATGATCCAATATTTGAAAATATTACACTTAAATAGATAATAATTTACCTTATAATTACAATGTTATTGAACAACATTGAACAACAGTTTATCTTCACCTTTACCCGAACCAAATTTTGTAAGAAATAATTGCATTAAATGAACAATTAAGGAAACAATTAAAAGTCATTTAAGTCTCTTTTCCTTTCATTTTTCCATCTCTTTTCAATTTCACATTTTCTTATAAAAACCTGACAAGACTTTTCATCAAACAGTTCATTTGATGAACAAATTGGCAGACTTTTGTAATTGATTAACATTGATCATTTACCTTAAGGCAAGGTTGAAAATTTGAGTGAAAAAACAATATTACAATGAAAGCAAATAGTCACTAAAGAGTCTTCAATTTGCCGATAAGGTGCGGCTCATTGATCTTAATTGGTTCTAATTAGATTTGATATTGCAAATAATTTGCTTGATAATAACGATGATCAACAACATGATGATTATCATGATTCAAGTTGGAACAAAGGGAATGTTTGACAGTTAAATTCGATGCTATTTATGAGAATATGATTAATGAACAATTTGATGATTATGTTTGTGTAAATTAAACGATTTATGATCAACAAAGATGTGACTTTGAATTATGTAAAATGGTCCAAGTTAATTAGCAATTGGATTGGTTAAGCAAAATGCTCATCGTTAATGCACTTGCAAAGCATTTCTTTCAACATCAATCATATGAAGCTCATTGCAGGATGAAAAGAGTTAACAATTTACATTTATAATAATGTTTCAAGATGATTAAGAATGATTAATTTCAATTGATTTGCCGGTAATGAGATACAAAAGGGTCAAAATGCGAGTTTTACTTGAGTTTAAGTCGGTTTTGAATTTGTTCAGTTTTCTGGTGATATTGAGCAAGAATTGTTCAGAAGTTTTGGAAGTTTGAACAAAAGTATGAAAATTGAATGACTGAGTTCAAGTTGAGTTTGGATAAGATTGGCTTTTGTCTTTAGCTGATGAAGTGGGTTGAATTTTTTGGTAATTATAAACGTTTCAATTATCGTAAAATAGCGAAACTTTTTTTTTCGTTTTTTCATGTTTTTTATCTGTCTGAACAGTCTGGAAGTTGTGAAGCTTTGAATGTTTAAACTCAATTTTTACGCTTTTTTTTGGTGTAAATTTTGCCTGATTGAGAAGGCTTTTGGGTTCAATAAAGGTGAATAAGGAGGAGGAACATGATTATCTTGATTCCATCAATGATGATGAGTTTTTCAACACATTCAGAAATGTTTCATTTGATAACTTCACTCATTTTCAAGGTTAAAATTTAGTTATTACAAAAGTGAATATAAAATGAGGTTAAAAGCGAGCAAATTCAACGAAAGTAATTTTTTCATCTTGATAAAGAGTAATTGAATAATAATGAAAATGGAGGAAAATTTCAATAACTTGAGCATTTTCATCAAGAAATATTTTCATTGAATTGATGAGCAAAAGGGTGGAAAAGAGAGAAAAGAGAAACTTTTGAAAAACTTTGAATGTTTTCCAGCATAAACCAACTCATCTTGAGTATCGTACATTCAACGAGTTAAACTTGAATTCATTTGAAGCCATTTATAGTTGAGTTACAACATTGACATGAACAGGTTTCAAAAGATCTGTAAGTGAGTTTTCATGAGAAGAAGAGAAAATGTAAATTTGATGAAAAAAAGATGAACATTGATTCCAATAGAGAGCATGTTGCTGTAAAAAGTGATTTCCAACTTTTCCGTTGAGCCACTGTAAGGTGAACCTTTAACCTTTCCTTGGAAGCTTAACTAGGTTTGCCTGAATGTCCATGTTAAGTGTGAGCTCGTAATGTTCAATTGACCACAAAAAGACGTGCACAGAAGAGGATGACCCTTGGTCACTCCCATAAAGCTTGTAGCCCTGGTTTGCCCTGCTTGTAGGAGGAGGGTGAAGTGGAATTGGTTAACAACAAAAGACGAGCAACTGGGAGTGGGAATTCAATTGTAATAGATTAACTGAAACAAATGCGTCAAAACCACAATTCAACTTTAATTAGACTTCAAATTGGCCAAATACATCTGAACATGGTGATGATGATGAGGGAAGAAGAAGAAGCAGATTGAAACAAAAACTCATTTTGTACATTAATTTGTGGTTAACAAAAGGAAAGCAAATTAACAGTCAAACAGCAAAACAAGTTTCTTCCCTTGCAAACCAAAAAAACAAGTCATTCTCTTACAGTAATTCATCTTTTTAATTCAATTGTTAATCAGTTGATTTCGTGATTTACTTTAATCAACTTTTTCGCTTCATTTTACATTCTTTTCTCTGATTGTTTCTGTCTTTCATCTTTCAAAATGATTACCTTTTAACAATCAATAATTATCAAGATAATGTCTAGTGAAAATGTTTGTTGTAACAATGGAAGAAACAAAAAGATTTCATTTCAACATTTCATTCTCATTATCCAAACCAATCATGCTATCATGGTAATTATTTGGAAAATGGAAAGTAATAAAAGCTACATTTCAAGTAGTAAATTGTAAAGTATCATTATTTGTAAAACTATCATCATTATCATCATCTATCAATAAACTTACCATGGATGTATCTTGTTTTTGCATCTTCATTCACTTTCTATCTTTAAATCTTGATTCATGATCAGCCAATGGTTTGAACATTTTTTGCCTCATTCATTCATCTCTCAATGTGCAGCAATTATACCAAAGTATTAGATTGAAATAAAGTGGGCCGCTAATGTGGGGTGTAAAACAGAGAGGTTGAGAGATGGCCGTTTGGTGATCAATTTTAATGATCACTTGAAAACACGGATCTTCTCTTCTCTCTCTCTTTGCTTATCATTTTGCCCCTTTACCTGCGAAACGATCCTCTCATCATTATCATCATTCTCATCATCAGACTCTTTCCTCTCTCATTGCGTCTCTCCTCATCTATAGCGCTACATTTAAACCGGAATTGGCTCTTAAACAGCCTATAAACAAGTTCATCTTCTTCATCATCTTTTTCATCATTTTATCATCTTTTTATAGGATCATTGTTAAATCGATCGTTTTTTTTCTCTCTCTTACTCTCTTCACTTGTATCCGCATTTCAATCTCAACATTGAATTTTCAGTTTAACTTTACCTTTCCGTATTCATTAATTGTTCAATCTCTTTTTTTTGTGGGAATCAAAATAATCAATTATTGAGATTTGAAAGTCTCTGCACAATTAGTACCTTTGGTGGTCAAATTGAGGGACCAGGTTAGAGGGTAATTTGCTTGGACAATACATGTAATTCACTGTTTTCATTGTTAACCACAAATGTTTTTTTTGTTGCTAGTAAAATGTAAAGACTGGAAATGAGTGAAAAGATGAAATTAGTAACTAAAACCATTGTAACATGTTCATATTTTGTTGATCTTTGTCTTCATAGCATCAACACTATCATCATCATCATCATCATCATCATCATCATCATCATCAGTATCATCGTTATTATTATTATTATCCTCGATATCATCTCAAGGTACAGTCCAGCTCCTGGATCACAGTACTTGTGTCCAATTTTAATGTCCACTTTTTTACATTCGTTGTTGTACCAACATAATTATTGGTCTTCATATTCAACTTTAAGACTTTTTCTTCTCTTTTTTTTCTTCTTTCGTTTCTTCTTCTTCTTTTGGTTTCTTTTTCATCTTCGTCTTCTACTTTCTACTGATCATCATTATCATCATCTTTTGCTGTCTTTTCACCTTCTCTTAGCTTCTTCAATTGTTCCCTTAATCGATCCTTACTTACATGGTCAACTCCTGTTGGCCTTCAACCTTAATTTTAACTTATGTATTATATCCGTGTTTAAATGTTAATATCATTGAATCTCAACTATTACATTGGACAAGAATGTTAATATTGGTTTTTTTGTTTAAAGACGGTAACACTGATTGTACATAGTAATGATGTTTTAAAGTAATATTAACATTGATTTGCGGTTTACACTGCAATTTGGGTTGATTGCTATCTTCGGTAAATCAATGACTCTTGCTAACTTCAGTAAATTTCAATATTAATGGTGTGAAAGTTTAATTTGCATTTTTGTCTTTTTCCCGAGCTATGATTTAAAGTCGTTTTATTGGTCGCTAATTTGTCGGCTTGCCATCGACGCGAAACACTTACTTTAGACATTTTTGTTTTGTATTTTAACTTGTATATTATTTATTTAAAGATGTGTAAAATAATTAAGTAATTATACATATATAAGTCAATTGATTAATTAACGTTGGCTATTTGAATGGGTTCCTCTTGAGCCAGATGAACCATCATAACCTGATCCCCTTGGTAAAGATGATGGTGAGGAAGGTGTGTTTGATGAAGATGATGAACCAAGAGGCGATGATGAAGATGATGAGGAGGAGTTATGTGTTGATGAATTATTTGATGTGGTTGGTGTAGATGCGGATGGTGGAGAAGGTGAAGATATAGATGATTTGGCTGATTTAGCTGATCCATTTGATGAATTATGATGATTATTATTATTATTTGTCATTGAAAGTTGTTGATTGACTAGTGAAGAACCATATTCAGATGATAAATTTGAAAATTGATAAGATGAATGAGGATGAAAATGACGGGCTGAATGATGATGAGTATTATGACTGGAATGATTATAGGTTTCAATTGATGAATGATGATACAATTCATGAGGATGAGATGGATGATGACTTGAACCTTTTCTTGGTTTGGAAGATGATAAATCTGTATAAGTTGGATAATTGGACCAACAATTATTTCTGGATATTTGATCGGGTGATTGAAGTTGTTCATTTGAAGTTACCATGGGATTCCCAGAAGCAGTCAACATTAAAAAGGGTTCTTCTTTAAGATGCATTAGAGTTGGAAGTTTTTCAAAGGCTGAAGATGAAGAGGAAGATGATAAAGAGGGTGGTGATGAAGTTCCACTTCCATAGTCAGAAGTTGTTGATTGAGGAGATTTACGAGATTGATAACGATCAATATCTGAGGATGATGAGGATGGAGATGAAAGTGAATAATATCCGGATGATGATGTCTCGGAAGGATGATGGTGATAATGAGATGAGTATTTGAGTAGAGCAGCAGCAGCTGCAGCAACAGATGAAGATGAACCAAGGGAAACTAAATTGGTCATTTCATCGGTTGAGGCTAGGGTTGATTGTGACGAGGCTCCGGTTGAATCCATCAATTCATTTGATGAACTCATGGGTGGACCATTTGATTCAACCATATCATAGTCTAACAGGGTTGGATTCAATTGTTTTTGTGTGCGAAAGTGATGAGCATGATGATAGGAGGCAACTGGAGTTAACACTTGATGATGGTGAACATGATGGTGTTGATGTAAATGATGGTGAGGATGATGTGGATGGTGAGGGGATCCATAATAACTGGAAACTGGAACAACCGTTCCCAAGTCTGTTGCTGACATTCCAGGGTAACCGGAACTTGCTGTGGTTCCAAACATTCCAGTTGCAGGATATGTAAAGGTTGATGCTCGTGGATGATGGTAGGTTGAAGAAGGTGGAGGTGGAAGATGATGCTGCCCGTGGTTAACCCTTTTTGCATTTGGTTCCGGTGATTCAGGTTCTTCTTCAGTTTCAGGTTCACTACGATTACGATCACCATTTGTTTGTTGAGAATTATTTGAATCTCTATTGCTAGAGTTATTATTGCTATTACCGTTTGAATTTGCACCAGAAGTAGTAACAGAGTTTGTAGAGATGACAGGTATGGAGGCACCCACAGGATGACAGCTTGATGATGTTGATGATGAATTGTGCGATCTTTTAACTGCTAAAGGTGCAGATGATGAAGTTCGGGAAGATTCAGGTTCAGGAATTGATGCTGATGAGACCGGAACAAAAGTAGGATAAGGTAAGCTTCCTGCTTGAGGTGAGTATTGTAAAACTGCAGACGACGGGTGATGATAAGGATGATGTGGATGAGCTGGTATAGGATGATGAGGTGTGGTACCATTAATGGGCCCAATGTTACCTGAATGAAGGCTGGCTGGATAAGCTACAGGTGCTAAGGGAACACTTGTTGATGTTACCAAGGTTGGTGTAGCAGATGAACAGCCATCAGAGATAGAAATGGTTGGACCATTTGTGGAAGGTGATGAAGAATGGTGATGATGATAATTGGATGAGGTTAATTGTGAGTGAATTTGTCCATGACCATTGGAATGTCCATGGACATGGGCATGAGCATGGTGGTGAACTGCAGCAGCAGCAGCGGCCGTCATAGCGGTCATTGCTGATGCAGCCGTAGCTACAGCACCTACAGCCGCAGCAGCAACCGCCGTGGATCCAGCGGCCACGGCAGCAGCAGCAGCAGCAGCTGTTGCAGCCGTGTGATGTGGATGATGATACAGGGAAGTTAATCGGGTTGCTGAGGGATGAGATTCATATCCAGTTAAACCATAATGCATCTTTGAATGGAGCGAGTAAAATTGGTAAAGCCAATTATTTGCACGCATTACTGTTGCCTCTTTTTCACTGTAGATATAGAGATAAAAAAAATAAGGAAACGAAAACATTTTAAATTGTTACAGTTTAACAATGATATTTCGATTATACAAGAGGCACAAAAGAAGCAATTACTCACCTTAATACTTGATTAGTACAGACTATGGTTGGCTGTTGGGAGGCATCATTGGCATCTCTAAACTGTAAAACACTGTGAACCCAAATCCATCGATGATCAGCAGTCTCCAATCTTAACAGTAATATACAAGACTTTTCTTGTTCCGATTGGGTAATTAAACGATGCTTCGATTGAGCTTCACGTAAATTTTCCCAATGAACTAAATCGTACCATGATAGTCCATTAATTGTACTTTTATTATAACCCAAATAAAACTCTCCACTAGAAAGGATTAAAAGAAAGAGAAGAAAGACAAAGAAAGAAAGAAGCGCTCATTAGTCAATTTTGTTTTCCATAAATTGTCAGACGATAGCTCAAAGCGAGGGCTTTTTAAATTGTTTAAACAATTGAATATAAAAAACTAAATGCAATAAAAATGTTCATTAATTTAAAACTAATCTATAAATAGGCAGAAAACATTTTCTTTTAATGATTATTTTAAATTGTAACCAATTCCAAGCGATTTATATTTCTAATGCAACTCAATTTACATGATATAACCAACAACAAGAAACAATAATGATGTTGATAATAAATTATAAGAGGCAAAATATTGATAATAACAATAACGATTACTGTGATTTATTCACATTAACAAAGCTCTAAGGTCAGTGTTGTTGAATAAACAATTTTCATGTTCCATCAGTTATGAGTTAATGTTTAATATATTTAACATAATTGTTTGTACTAATTATTTTAATGATTACTGAATATGATGAAGAAGAAGAAGAAAGTTTAACTCAATGTTTAAGAAGAACCGAGAACAGTTCATTCTAATTTTATCCGTAAAATTAAATTCCAAAAGGATATCACTCATTTTCATTTCGATCATCATCATCATCATAATAATCATCGCCATCTTTATCATCTCAGGTACAAGCTTATCATCTTATGCATAATAAAAGCAAAGAAACATATCGGCTAATATTTATCCTGTAATTCATTACCTCAGGCTATACATCACGACTTAGGTGACCGGTGATGAGAGAGAGAGAGAGAAGAAGAAGAAGAAGATGATTTAGAAAGAGATGATAAAAAAGATGAAAGAGAGAGCAAGTTAAGTGTTCCAGTAAACCTCGTAATGTTGGCCCCGAGCCGTTAACAGACAACGAAAACAAGCTGGAAAGAGATCGACCTAAAACAATCGTGATGTAAATGAAATTAAAAGAATAAGATGATAATGATGAAGATGAAGATGATGGGAAAGAGTGAAGAGGAAGACGAGGGAGTGAATAAGGTAAGACGTTGAGCCTTTGTTCAACATCCATTATGTTTCATTACAGCTGAAGTTTTATGTCTTTTCTGGTCTTTTCATTGAAATGATTAACAATCAAATTAAATCTGGTAAAGTAACCAAAAATTGATAAAGTAAAGGAAAAGGAAACAGATGATCCTCTAAATGGTAATGTTAATCGTTTCCATCATTTGCTTCATCATTTAGCTTCATCATTTACCTCATCATTTACATCAATAATGAATTATAATTAGACTCGACTGTTGACCTAATAGCAGCTTTAATTGTTTATTTGATTATTGTTTTCTTTACCTCAATTTACCTCTTTACATTTGTTTACCTTAAAGGCCTTTTTTAATCACAATTTTTAATCAAATTTTCTTGGCGCACTTTACAATTGTTAAACATTTCAAGTTTCATTTAGTTGATGCTTGACTCAATTGTTCAATTGACTTTAATCAATCAATTAATCGTGACTCAATCAAAGGTTTAAAATACAAAAAAAATTGAATCTAAAGTCAATGCTTGTTCCTGGTTTTAATATTTCAATCAAGACTTCATTGTTTCCAATCAATAATTGAAGTAACAATTAGTAAATGAGGTAAAATTGAAAAATGTATTCAATGTAAAGCTATCAATAATGGCAATTCTTGTGAGGTCGCTACATTGATATTTTAATGAATAATGTTTTCATTGCCCGGTGGGATTATTTAGCTAACCATTAAATCCTCCTTCTCATGATCATCTTTTTACTCTGAGCGTAATTTTTACTCATCCATTCATTAGGACTTGAAGAGACAACGTCTAAATGTATGTAAACAAAAGTAACATTTATTTATATCAATAATTGCAATTGAATCACAAAGCCGTCTTTGACTCTTGTTACTACAATTTTCAAATTAGCAAGGTAATTTGTAAAGCAATCAAGTTAACCATGGTTAAGGAAAGATGATCACGATTCTGATGGTAAGAAAGGAATCTATCATCATATGAAAAGAAGAAGAAAAGTTGAAAGAAGATGAAAAATCTTGAAAGACAGAGAGAAGAGAAAATTCTTGTTCATCTCGATTTCAAGATTTCCAAGCCAAACCTAAATAATGATGAATATTGAAAGTTGAACTTTATGGGAAATTAAATGTCAAATATTGAAATTAAGGGCCAACCCAGTGTAATAACAACAGGTAAATACAAAATAATGATAATCATAAAATTGATGATCAACGAAAACAAATGGATAGACAAGGTCAAGTCAAAGTTTACCAAAAATATCGTGACTTTTAACAACCTTAACATGAGTTTTTTACCTTGACTTCGTGTCAAAGGTGAAACGCATCTTCATCATCATCATCATATATTACATGGGAACTTAGACAAAACAAAAAAAGCCAAATTTCAATGCAAGTTGAAGGCGGCTTTAATTGGACTTGATCGGTTGACCAAAAAGCAGAAAAAATATTTTTCCCTATTCAATAACAACTCTTGTCTTGAATCATTTTGTTACACTTTTCAACAAAATGAACCTTAAATGAAATTTCCAATTCAATACTTCCGTCTGAGTTGTTCAGATGTTATTATGTTTAGTAATGAAAGGCGTAATTTCAAACTGAAATGGGATGAAACCATCAACTGTAATTGGATAAATTGTTGGATAAGAAGGCGTAACATGTCAATATTAAATTGTACAGAATGATAATAATTACAGCCTTTTGATAACAATAATAGTAATGATATAATGGCAATATAATGATAACAATAGTAATGATGTGAATGGCCAAATATACTTTTTGTTGTTTAACATAAGGTTAAAGGTAAAAAGGTTTATCAACTAACAATGTCTATGATTTAAATTACAAGTGAATAACATTGACATAAGTCACGAAATTAAGGTAAGAAATAACGGTTTTTTGGAGGGAAATGATATAAGATGAGGAAGAGTAAGTTATCTTGAGATTATTGTATTGAAACTTTTGTTCAATTGTTATAACAATTGAACATTTTGTTGCTGTTCCACTTTAATTGGATTGTAAAGTTTAAAGACTATAGGACTTGATGATGATATAGGATGATGTTGATGTTGATGATGATGAATGAAAGATGAAAAGAAATGATTGTTACTGATGAAGAAAGATTTGCTATTAAGAAAGGCCAAGCCTGTAAAGATGTTATAATGGTAAATATTATTATCATGTATAGAATCATAATATGCCAAGAAAATATAGTTTTCAATTTTTTGATAACTTTTTTGGTTGTTGCTGGGGTTTGCTTTGAGCTTTGCTTTTTGATGAACTTTTTGGTTTGGAAATTTCATGAGAAATGTTTTACTTACTTTCGATCAAGATTGATGAATCTCATGTCTAACGAGTGAATTGAGGTGAACACTGTTGTATTTCCTTGAGCTACACACTCTCTTGTCTCGGGCATTGCAACTGGTGTACAAGTGGCTAAAAAGACGGGTGCATTGCTTGTACATAAAGGTAAATAGGAGACGAAATGTCCCTGAACCAGGACAACTTTTTGATCGCCAAATCTCATCTGGCGACGAGCATTGCGAGATATATTCATTCGGCAAAGGAAAAGTCTGTTATCTGAGGCCAAACTGTTTCCAAGGGGATTAGGTGGTCTCATTAATTCATTTTGAATTGTTTGATGGTCTTGCTTCTCAATAATGTCATAGACTGAATCACCATGAATGAGTAATTCCTCCTGGAATAAAGAAAAAGTAAAAAAAAATAAAATCCTAAGTAAGTAATAAAATATAAACTCAACATCTGCGGCTTATTTTGCATTATTATTGTGACAAGAAATTTTTAAAAGGTTTCATTTAATCAAAGATTACAATTTTCGCTCGTTCATAGTTCACTCGGAATCTTTGACTAAAAGTTGAATCAACATTATCAGTTCATTTTGCATTATTATTGTGACAAAAGGTTGAAATGACTAAACAGTTTGATCAAATTTTTGCTAAAAAATTGCTTTATCTGTCGGTAACTTTGATGACTAAAACTGTTTGGATGTAAACAAAAATTGAACAATTCAAGTCAATCATAAAGCATAATCACAGATATTTTTGTGATCTGAATAGCAAACCATTAATTTTAAATGTTTGATCTTTTGATAAAAATCAACTCGATTGCTACTCTAGTTGAGATCCAGGTATCCTAACCACTAGACAATGCCGGAACATTATCGTTAATCTAACAATTGTAAGTGGTTGCCATGTTTGGTTTTCACACAAAAATTAACACCACATTGATACCTAATTTCAATGTTCATATCGATGCAAAAAACAGCCATTTTTCAAAAATAATGGTTCATATTGAAAGTAATCATTAACTGTAATAATGGTCATTTAAGCCACAAATGTTGAACAGAGCAGAAAAGGGCAAAAAAACATTTTCTTCTCTGCCCTTTCCCTTCTCACCTGAACTACCTAGGTGTACATTGAAAACCTATAATCAGATCTCCCTGTTGAAGCTACCATTTAACATGCCACCCCTTTAACTCCTCACACCTTCTTCTTCCTCCTCCTTTCCAATCCATCTACCCTTGACTCATGCAAATTACATTGGACCAGTTATTTATTCAATTACAACTCGTAAAAATTGTTTAACCGTAATTCAGTAGTTTGCTTCCCTTTACTGGGCCAATGCTTTTATCGGTAAAGGCGTCGATGCAACTATCCTACATTGGGTTCGTTCAGTTGTTAGGCTTGGCTTCTCGCCATTTCAAATAATTTTCATTCGAAGCTTCCGTTTATCATTTTCATCAAAATTTATATTTTTTGAATCAACTCAACCTCTCCTCATACATTTACACACCATCAATGAACCATTTGACTAGCCTTGATATGAATGTATAACAAGTGTAAATGCTACTAGCAACTACTCCTAATGGTAGCAAATTGTGTTATCAATGAACACTCCTAGAGTAATACAAATATTGGAAAGGGCAAACCCAATTTGATTTCAATTTGTATTTCATTTAGCAACAAGTGATGAAAAACAGGGAACAGCTTGAGCATCTAATGAAATTATCAAGTGTTAAAATGATTAATATCTTGTTGATGTTATTGTTTTAAATAAATCTGCAATTCATCTCAATTTAACTGTAACAATTTTTATATACAAATTTCATTCTAATTAATCAACAATGTTGATGTATGAAGTGCGTCTTAACCAAACAAGTTTAGCCAGCATGCATCTGGACACCACACTGTGACCATCAAAAAAAGCTAGTAACGAATGGACAACCTCAATTATCCTAGTTTATCGCTCAACATGAGATTTGATTTCAACAAGCTTACAACTAATTAACCTGTTCACAGTCAATTAGGTAAGATTAAAGGTGACCTTTTGTCAAATTTATTCAATTGATAGCCGACTATACAAAATCAATTATTGAACAAATTGTAAGAAAAAGTTTCAAACTTTTCCTCTTTTTCTATTCATTGATAAACTGTCTTTTCACAATCAATTAAGATTGTTTCATTTTTTGTTCAGGAAATTGCCTTTCAAAAGGTTCAACATTAATTTCAAGCGTTTTAATGAAATGACAACAAACATGATTATCATTAGTTGAATGTTAACAAATGAAAGCAGATTAAGGTAAAACAAAATAGTAACAAAACAATCAGCATCAATCATGAGAAGTACAATTGATTAGTTTTACAGACCGCCTTGATTGGGTCAATATCATTGGGCCCTTTAGCTGTTATAAAGTGATAAATTTACTAAATAGTTGAAATCAAAGGTAAAAAAAAGAGGAACACAAAAAATTACAATAAAGGTTGAAGGGAGTGAAAGCGTAACTAATTTAGGAAAAGATTGAACTGAAACATTATTTTGACAGAAGACAAGGTAAACCCATTGGAATGGACGTTGGTCAAGAAAGAGATGAAGAGATGATGAGAAGGAGGGTGAAGCAAAGGTAGAGAGTGGGAGAGAGTTGAGGTAATGAAGGAGGCCCCTTGTGGTGAGAGAGGGTCACTTTATCAGTGCAACAAATATTTTTCTTTCTTCTTCTTCATCTTCTTCTTCCTTAACTTTGATGAACTTTATGAAATATCCATTTTAGTATTACATTGTTACATTTACTGTCCCAGTGGGAAGTCAAGGAGTGTGCCTAGTAAATATTCACAAAGGCAATGTTCAATGTAAGGTGTTATCGTTGCAGATGAAATTATCTGAATCAATGTTGTTGACCGTTCAATTTTTTTACTTTAAATCAGTTTTTCTTCCAACTTTTAGGTTCCTTTGTTTCAGATCATTTCTGACAAGGATTGATGCTCACTGTGTTGTATCATTGATCCTATCAAGATTGAGTGTGAAACGTACAGACACAGACGATGGTTTACTTACAAGATACAAGCCTCAGGGTTAATACATTAAATTGACTCTCTGTTTATTTGAGAGGAAAAATGTTCACTTTTTTTCTGAGGTTTCCATTTCATCAGTTAGTAAATTTAACAAACTCAAAAATTAAGAGAGAGAGAAGGGAGGGAGAACCACCCTCCACTCTCACCCCACTCTAGATCCGGGTTCATTCAGGTTGTATGAATGAAGAGGGAAAAGAGAGAGAGTACGATGATGAAAACATGATGATGATAAAGACTGATGATCATGATCATCATCCTCCAATGGATTAACATTATTGAATAAATTACAAAACTGATTCCGGTTCAACTCAATGTTTACTTTTACTTTTTTCATCAAAGAAAAGGGAAAAATTTCACATTCCATGATCAGGGAAATCTGATCAATATGAAGTTGCACCAATCATGGAAATGTTTAAACAACTTTTTCTAAACTCATTCAATCAAGTTCAATGATATTCATTAGGACGATAAAGAAGGAAAGTTTGATTCGATTTTCGCCTGAAAATTGATTTTATCCTGATAGACGTTCCATTTACTTTACATTTTTTAATTTCTCTTCATTTCTACTCTCATTGGATGAAATTTTGAACTTGATCAACACCTCAACTCATCATCTTTGATCTTAACGATAACTGAAGATGAAAAGATTTTTGTTCAACTTCAAAAGTCTGAATGAACTTGAACAAAAAACTCACAAATCAAGTGAAACGTATCTTCATGTTTTCATCATTTTTAAACATTTTTTACTTCTCTTCTCTTCAACAAAACAAATCTAATTTCGTGATTAAAGTCAGTTAAAATGTTGTAGATGATGATAATTGTAACTAAATTGCTTCAAGTTAAATTAAGAATCAAATATTTTGATAATTTCAACCTTTTATTTCATCTGATTGATAAATGTTGAAGTCAAAACCATTCACCAAAATGGTGATCCAATTAAATGTAATCAAAAAGGTTTTCATGTTTTCATCACTTTAGTTAATCAATAACCAAATGATTGAAACTAATGTTGAAAAAAAACAATTTAAAATATAATTACCATTGAATGTCCAAGGTATTCAGCAGCATTATCAGATATGTACAATAATTTACCATTTTGTGTCATCATCATTAAGAATCCACTGAGAGCCTGAAATGATAAAAACAATTAAAATTAATATTCAAAATGTTATCCTTCATCAGAATCGCAGGAAAACTTGAAACTGATATTTTGTTATTGTTCAATTGAACGTGATAAAGTTAATTGATAATATATTGATGGACAATGATATTAACAATAAAGTGTTTCAATCATTAATAGATATAAATTGAGCTTCAGGGTTTGGAGAAATGCTGGAAAACCTTTTTTGCCAAATCAATAAGTTTAACACTTTTATTCATTACTATCAATGAATTGTTCATTACAAGGTGAACAGTTGAATTATCCTGGAAATGATGGCGATGAAATGGCGCAAATTCAACTTTCCATTTAACCCTGAGCTTCTGAATGTTGATGGAACTTTTTGTTTTTCTAATTTTTTGTTTCTCTTCAATTTTTTCACCATTTTCTCAATTCTTTTTGTGTCTGTTTCACCTGTACTTTATATTCACCTGTTCACTCATTATTGTTTTAAACTTGCATACAAAGACTATACTGAAGCTTCTGTTCATCCTCAGCTTTACCTGTTTGAGAAGAAGAAAAAACAAGAAACGAATTTTCTTCTTCTTCATTTAGCTGATTGGAATTAAAAGTTTTAATCAAAGGATACGCTTTAATGAATATTAAGTCACGTTAGTAATGCTCATCGTGAAGTTACCTGGTTAATGATACAAAGCGCAATCAAACATCATTTATCAGTATTGATATTCAATTTTGCCAAACTATTTCAGTTTTTGGTTAAACTTAACAAACTTTTTTCGTACTTTTTTTGCATTTACTTTCCTTACAATTTAAAACACAATTTGTGATTGAAACAGCTGTAACTTCATCAATTATCATTAAAATCATTAATCTTGTTATTGATTACATTATTCATTTAATCAAATTAACAGGAAAAACTACAATGAATTACCTTGAAACAATGAATGTAACAATTGAACTTTTGTACAATATGAAGAGCAATTGGTAAATATAATTTCAATGACAATTTGGTTTCATTTATCATTAGCTTAATGGTCAAAGAAAACCGGAACGCTGGATATTTGCGATGGAATGAAGGTTCACAGGTTCGTGATTAACTTTCCGTAAATTAACTATTAAAACTATTATCGTTATTGATATCATTTATGAGAATTGTTGCCCTACAATCACACAGAATTTAAGTTTTACCTGAAAAGAGAAGAAGAAAAGAAATAACTTTTACTTTTTTTTCTCTTCTTCTCTTCTCTTCATTTCCATTTTTCTTCTTCACCATTCTTGTAGTTTTGGTTTTTACATTAAATTTGATCATCTCAATGTTGCCGTAGGGCTAATCAGGTATGTTGTACTGATGATGAAGATAGAGGATGAAACAAACAAGAGAGTTTATGATTTTGCCTTGAGGATCTCCTAATCAAGAAGAAAGGTAAATTAAGTGAACTATTCACTTCTCTGGTTGTCTTACGATACAATTACAATTGCAATCACACACAAGGAAAATGGATTGGCAATGGTAACACCAATGATAATGTTGGCCTTTTGAAGGCCTAACGAAGGCGCAATATGAAACAACAATTTGTTTTACATTTTTTTCATTTGTTTCTTGTTTTTTTTGTCCTGAACTAGCTTATAGATACAAGATTGGATGATTATGATGATGAGCTGAAGGTAAGTGAATTTATGAAGACTCATCATGTTCTGAATTGTGTTTAGCTTTGGCTATGATTGACAATCACTTTGCTGCTTCTCTCAGTGATTTAGAGTGCGAAGAGAGAAGAAGATGAGTTTAGATAAAAAACGATCATCAGGAGTATAATGATGAAGATGAGGATGAGAGGGGAAACTGTTTTGTTACTTGAAGGCAAGAAGAGAGGGTGGAGAGGTTATGGGAGGATGTAACCATAGGGCTTCCAATTAATAACATACAAGAGATTTAGACAGCTAATTGTGTTTCACTTTGAACAATGTTTTCAAGTGAATCCACTAAATGTTTCACAAATGAAGTATCCATCCATTTTTGCCTTCGTTTGCCTAGTCTTGTTTTTTTTCAGCTCTTTTACCTCATTTTGAACCTTTTGAAGGTTTACTAAGATTGTAATGATGAAAGTTTCCATTAGGAGTTGGAAAGGTAACAAACAGCAGCAAACCTACCTAGTCATTTATACTGTGGTTAACTTGTGTTGAATAGTAACCAAAAACTACAATTAAAAGGTAGGACAATAATTACAAGTTTAGATCAATACCTTTGATTGACCAGTGAAATGCAGTAACTACAGATTTATAAGCGATTTAACGGTAAACCGATCACATTAAACACATTTACAAAGATTTCATTTTTTCAAGTTTTCCAGTTTCTTTGAAGCTTTACTTTAAGGTTTACTTACCTTTGAAAATCCTAAGTGAGGAATCGGAATTTCGGGCGAAATCTCGTGTTTGCGAAAAGCTGTGAAAGGATGAAATTAAAAGTTAATTGTGTGTCAATTAAGAATGGGAAATATTGAAATCGTTTTTTGTATCGATTTCGTTGAAATTTTGTTATCGTTTAAGGGATGAAAAAAGTTTTCAATTGTTCATTCAATGGCTATTATTATTAATATCTTTTGTTTGACTAACTTGATATTACAATAAAAATATCAATATTGATTATCATTGGCAATTTGATTGAGTGGATGAAAATAACTGGCTAAGTAAATATTGATCAACTTTAAACTGAATCAGTTCATTGAATTGATTTCTAATGAAAAGGGTTTTCTCACTTTTCATTCAACAATTGAAACAAACTCATTAATCAATCAATTTTACTTTTGTTTCAACTGTCGATTAATCTAATGATTTACTAAATGCAATCAAATCTAAAAATTGATTAGTCAAGTGAATAAGTAAACATAAACATTGAATGTTCATGGGAACAATAAAGAGCAACTTTTCATATCGATAAACAAATGCAATTTAAAGCAATTCAAAATGTAATCAAATTAGCAAATTAATTATTCACAATTGGATATTTTTCTTGTTTGATTTACTAATGTCTATAATTAAGATGGTTTAAAGTGATAAATAACATTTCAATGTTGCATTGAACCTGTAATTATGTAAATTGTAAACTAACCACAGAAAAGTGATTATCAAGAAATGCGGGTTTTAACTGAATTTATCATGTAAAAATGATGTTAATCAGTAATAGAGTTTGAGACAATTAAAAATGGTAAATTCAATGTTGAGCTTTGAAGTGATTTACAAGATGGACCAAAATTTGCCATTCAAATGATTGAATAATTGATTCACATATTTTTGATATTGCATTATGATGATGATGATGTTGATGAAGATGATGGCAAATGGTTTTAGATTGGATGATGAGGAGGAGGTAAACATTGAAGACAAATGTCTTGCCTTGAGCAAGAGTCTCGATCATCCCATAAATGCATGTTTATTTTGTCTTAAACTGTATTTCATTATTCTCACGCATTCTAATAGGTAAATGTGAAAAGATGATGTTGATGGGGATGAGGTTTAGAGGATGTATTCCTGTGGTACTTGATGTGGTCTTATGTGTGGTATTGACTCAAGAATCAGTTTCATATAAAATGGGAAACAATGAGATAAAAAATATTGAGAAAATGTTCATCTTTTGCTTAATGATTATCGGATGATCATCAACCTTGATCCAATCTCTGTAAACTTAGTCCATTCTATCAGTTAATTTAACTTTAATTAGAGGGTTCCAAGTGACTAGTGACCAACTAATTACAGGTTTACCTTTCAGGTTAAATGTTACAGCAACTATAAACGGTTGAAATATCAACCTATTTGGTGTATTAGAGGGCGTTTGGTAGGTTCAAAATGATGATCAACATATTGTTCAATGAACATGATAATCATCAAGAGCTTGATTCCAGAAGGAGGAGACAGGTTAACCAATTTACCATTAAATTTTATATGAAAATGAAACTACAAAATTAATCACAAATTTTGATCCAATTTTCATCCTCATCTTATTCATCATTATCATCATTGTCCTCCTCCTCTTTCCGTTTTGTTTTTCATTTTTTTGGTAAATTTCATTTTGCTCAACATTATTGGTCTTGTCTAGGAAATTGAATTTTTCAATTTTCTGGAGTCTGGAATTTTTTTCATTAAAAATTATTCTAATGATGGGATGAAGGAGGAGAAATTAAATGATGATAAGAGGATCACCTGTTGTGCTGTGTGAACAGAATTGATTATTGTGGGAACTCTGAATATGTCAATTCGAATCAGATCAACAATTCTTGCTCTTTGTGTAACCACTCAATGAACTTTTTTTCATAACTTTTTTTTTGAATATCTTTCGTCTTCATCTTCATCAACACTATCTTCATCAACTCTTGAAGGTACTTTTAAACAAAACACTTTTCTCATGTTGAATGTTATTCATATTTTCTCAGGTTCAGGTAAAAGGTAACATAAGATTCATCAGCTTTTTTTTGTTGTCTTTTAAACGGTTAGTTTGGAGCTGTCATTGAACAATAATGATAACAATGATATTAATTTAATTACCTTAAACATTGATTGACATGTCTTGGTTTTCATCATCATTTTCATCCTCATCTCTCTTCTAGTAAACCACTTAACATCATATCTTCATCATTGTTAATTGGTCTCTCTTTTTATTCCCAACTCTTATGTATTCAAACGATTCCATTAACAATGCAATTGCATTCAAATGCCACCAACTGTTCTTGATTGTGCTCAAAAATCAATGGGCAATATTTATCATTTATCAAATATTATCATTACGATTCCTTCCTACGCTTTTACAACATTAATCCATTTCACCGCAAAATCAAATTTAATGCAACAATCAATTTATAAATGGGTGAAAATGTGACAACAAGTCACTTGTAAGTTTATATACAAATGATCACTTGTTGGATTTAACTGACAGAGATTTGTTGAAATTTATATCAATAACAATTGATTGAACACTATTAATGTGTTAAATTAATAGTCTAATCATCGATAATTGCTAATTGTTTAGATATGATATTAACAGTGTTAGGCCTAATGGTGGAAAGGGTGAAACTAGGGTTTACTTACCATTTTGAAAGTAATTTGATTTCCTTACATAAACACAAACCAATGCCATTAATTGTAATTGGGATAAACGTTGTCGAGTTGATGATGGCAATGGCAGTAAATCACGAAGATTGGCAATTTCGGCATTAATGGAGTCCCGTCTCTGTTTGGAAGCTCCTTTAGTAGATTTGCTTGCATCGCAGGTATACATTGCATTTCACTTAAACCACTTCACGGTGTAAAGATGTAAACAAAAAATTGGGAAATGAAAAAAACAAACGAGTATCAAAAATAGTAGAGAAAAGTAAATTGAAAAGAAGGCCAAAAAATTGGTCAATTAGATGGTGTAAAGGGTCAGATTTAAGATTAAGGTAGACAAAATTTGTGACTCCGTTTTAGGGATAAAACCAGGTTACAAGATTGCTTAAATTTCACCTCAACATATAAGCTTGAACAGTTAACTAATCACATGAAGAAAAGTTTGCTTCTAGAGAAGTTGATGAAAAAAATAAGTTGAAAACTTTTCTCAACGCTTAAGGTTTGACTCCTCCTTGGAAACTCCTACTAATAGCTTTCCCGTCTTCCCCGTAATAACAGGCATTATCCTCATTATCATCATTATTATCATCCTCTTCATCCAGCTTCATCGGCATCATCGGCATTTTACGGCAACGGTTTCGGAGAAAAGACTAAGCTCCATCTATTGGTAGATGTCTGCGATTTGGTACAGCTGATGATTTTTCATTGACTTTCTCTTTCTTTAAAAATAATTTTGATTATTTCATCTTTTTCAGTGTTTAATTGTTGTCATTTTGTTGTCTTTTTTTTCAACTTTCAACTGTAATTTTATTTACTTGTTCACTACCAGCTATGGTCATTTTAATGCGCTTTGCTGTTAGGTCAAATTTGTTGCCTTGGCTATTGAGTTCACATCAGACCAATAAAAGTTTGACTGTTGGTGTTCGCAATTTGTCCACTGTATTGCCCGATGAAGTGTCTTTCTATAATAATGCTGGTTTCGATTGGTGGTCTGGTATTAGTATGAAACCCTTGCGAGCTCTTAATCAACTGCGTGTACCTTTAATTCGTGACACTTTGACTGGAGGTCGTAAATTGACTACTTCGAAGCCGCTTAATGGTTATTCTTGTATTGATGTTGGTTGTGGCGGGGGTTTACTTTGTGAGCCTCTTGCTCGGCTTGGTGCCTCGGTTACAGGAATTGATCCTAGTCAGAGTAGTATTCAAGCTGCGGAAGAACACCGTGATTGGTTTTCATCTTCTTTAAGTGAAAATTTAAACTATAAAATGACTTCTATTGAAGATTTTGTTGTCAATGAAAGCCATCACAATCAATTTGATGCTGTCGTTGCATCCGAAGTATTGGAACATGTCCAAGATCTCGATTTATTTATTAAATGTTGTGAAAAACTCATCAAGCCAGGAGGAAATTTAATCGTTACTACAATTAACCAGACTCTTGCTGCATACATTATTGACATTTTAATCGCTGAAAAGGTACTTGGTTTAATACCTCAAGGAACTCATCAATATGAACTTTTCATCTCACCGACAAGCTTACAGAAACTTGTCGAACACAGTAAGTACTAATTTGATAGCTTATGTGAGGTCACTTTTTTAAATTTAGTTTTTTTTATCTCATGGATTTGTATTGATTGTTTTTCGTGCTTTATTTAACATTTTATTTTATCATTTCTTTCAGATAATTTCACAGTTAGATCAATCCAAGGAATGATGTACAACCCGTTGTCTTCAAGATGGTCTTGGTCAAAATGTACCGCTAATAATTATGCTATGGTAGCAGTAAAAGATGCCAAAGAAACGAAACAAAATTCTTAAATAAGTCGATAGAATATAATTATTTATTGTGTTTCAATCCTATTCTCTCTTCGGAGTTACATCGTTATGTCTTTTCTTTTGTTAAACTAGACTCTTATAAAATATAATTTATTTATGAAAATGATGAAAGTTTAACAAATTCAACTCAAATCATTTCTTGCAGTGTTACAGACGAATTACCATTTATCAAAGTTAATTGTCCATTATGAGGTATATCAACAATACTTTTTATGCATGTAATGTCGTTTGAGTATATTTCTGGAAATTATCTCAAGAAACTTGCATTTCGAATGTATTTTTGGTAGCCGGTTTTCTGAGTAATTTAGGCGCAGATAGTTTGATTAAAACAGCTCCAATAGGTGCCGTTAAAAGTATTGAAAGTATGGCCACTGTTAATACCAAGATACCATTTTCGATGGCCTGTTGATCACCTCTAGATCGAGCCAAATCTAAAGCAACAGGACCAATTGCTGCTTGAACAGTTGCCTTTGGAAGCCAAGAGATTGCAATGAAAAATTTTTCTCTTAAATTCAATTCACTACCAAATAACACTAAAAATGACGCTAAACATCGAAAACCCAGTGATATGATCAAACAAAGAGTGACAGGGAAAAGGTAATCCAATTTAAGTTGCGAAAATTTAATCTCTGCTCCTATTAGGGAAAATAAAAATGGCTCGAAGATTAACCAAGCAATTTTGAGACCATCTTCGATTTGAGAGTCAATATTAAGAGGACGCCAACGAATAGCTGCTACAAAAGTCACAACCAAAGCAGCCAGAGGTCCGATTCCTCCGATGTCTAGGTAATTGGTTATAAACACTGACGCTAACCCAATGGTTAGAGTTAGAGCAAATCTTTGGCAATTAGCTGTGAATTGATCAAATGTCTCTTCGGAATCCAAATCTTTCCATGAACATCTGGGAAAGTACCACAGAAAGATACCAGTCAATGTACCCATGATTAGACCTATCAACGCTTCTCCAGGACCTTTAACAAGATTCCAAACTAAACTTGAATCAGGACGAACAAAGGCAAATGAAAGTACAACATCGAATCCAGTAATTGCTAAAACATCATCTACTGATGAACTTGCTATGACAAGAGAAGGAATTCCTTGTTCAATTCCGTATCCCTGTTGTTGAAGATCAATCATGGCTGGGACTACAACTGCAGGTGAAACAGCACCAACAACAAAACCAAGTAAAAGTCCCCATTGAAATGGAAATCCAATTATTAAGTGAGTAGTTATGGCTATGGCAACTGCTTCAACTAGACAAGGAATGAAAGCTAATCGGAAACAAACACCTGATAAAGATTTAATCATTTTTGGATCAAGACCAAGTCCAGCTCGTAAAAGTATAATTGTTAATGCAATTGATCGCAATGAGCTTGAGATCTTTGAATCGAGAACAATAACGTTGCCTGGAATATTGGAAAGGATTATTCCTGCAATCATCATTCCCAGAAGTGGTGGTAAACTGAACGGAAGACAACATTGGCCCAAAGCATAGGCAGTTATCCAAATGATTAACAGTGAAAATAATGGACTTTGAGGTGGCAAAGCAATTGGACCACAAATTGACCATAATAAAGACCAGCATAAAACACAAAGAGCAGCACGAATTATCCATTCTGTGATAAAAGATATACATTTTTTTGCGATTGTTGGAGCTTCCTCTGGACTTTGACTGATGCTGTCATCGATACTCGGTGAACCAATCACACTTATCCGGTTTTGATGCGGTGAACCATTTGCATTGGCTTTCATTTCGGGTGATTCAGTAAATTCACTTACATCAAGTCAACAAAGACAGATAATCACAAGTAAATTGGATTGTTAATGAAAATCCGATCATTGGTAATACGAGACAAATTTGATAACTACTAAGCGAAATTGATCGAATAAAATCTTATTGATTGTAAAGATTATGATTAAAGCGAGATTACAGAAGATTAACTAACCAAGACATAAACAAAAAGGTTTGTGATTTCGAGTTGACTCAGATTCGATCATTCTCTAGCTTCTTCTGTTGGATTGCTTTCATTTATTATTGACATTCAGCTGTAATTTGATTAAATAATCCGGCAAACAAAAAATATTAGTTTCTAATTTAATCATTAATGTTTGGTTATGATTTACTTACTGGTACGAAATTCATAAACTAATTTTAAATCGTTGTCACCAGGAAAGGATTTATTGATTGTGTTTGTTTATTCACATTTACTTGATTTTATTGGTATTAATGTCATTTTTAATCTTATTGTCTATTATTAATAAATGTGAGATCGATTTCAAGGTTTGCATTAATCTCATGCTTACAAAGATAGGACGTTAACCAATTCTAATACCGACTTAATCCAGGATCTTTAGTCAACGGAATACATTTGATAACACATCAAGAAATAAAGTTAAACCGAAGTGTAGACATGATAAAAAAATTTAATTTCGAAAATGAATTTTGAATTACTCTTATACAATTTAGTTTCTCTTGATGCAGAGTTTGAAAGTACTGTTTATCAATTGCGAAAATTGATAAGCGCATAACTATTAAGTTCACTCTAGCGTCACAATACATAAATTTTGAATTTACTTCAATTCCGCTGATGGAATACGCAGTGAAATCATTTAAAATAATACAATAAAGGGTCTCTGATGAAACATGTATTTACTCATTTAGTCAAAAATATTTTGCTCTCCCGTTTGACAAGGAGCGTTGATATAAAAGAGAGGGAGAGAGAAAGAGACAATTAAAGGAGAGAAAGATAATTGTAATGCTCATTAACAGTAGTCGATAATCACAGCTCGATTCTAAACCAATTTCGGTGTTGAATACTTATGCGAAAACAATGATTGAGCTGGAAGAGAGCAGAAGAATTGACAATAAAGAAACAGATGTTGGATTTTTTAGCGATGAATTTATCCCAGACTGACCAAACAATGGAATTTGGCAATTTGATTTGTCACACAATTTTCGAAACGAGGTCAAACTATATATGCATTTAAATGATTTCGAAAGTCTTTTTCAATTCGATCATTAATTGCCAGTCACTTTTTTGTAGCTCATCTCTGAAGTACTCTTTAACAACGTCTATCGATTCTCGAGTTATTCTAGACACCAGCATATCGTTATAATCAAAGTGGCGTCCATAAAGTTTAGGTGCATCACCTCCGACGTGTTCAATTTTTATACAAACTTCTGCTCCTCTGCGAGCGTTATCAACATTTTTATGGTTTAGCTCAATACTTGTTACCTGACCTATTTCAAGATTCTCTGAATCAAGTAAAAAGAAAGAAAATTGTTAAAATGAATTTTAAACAAAATTTAAATAAAGACTTGAATAAATTAAATAAAGTCTGTCATTACCTTTGCTGGGTACTGCTAATGTAACTCCTGGGACTAATAATCCATCTTCGACAGAAACTCCTAATACGATTGGGTCACGAGCATTGAAAATGAATTGGGGAAGAATTCTCAGTTTACAGGGGAAAACAGCAACGTTTTTGTACTGTTCTTTTCTCTTCTTTTTCAAATCATCTCGGTAGGCAGTGAATTTATCAAACAGATGGTAAATAATTTCTGCAGTAAATATTCTCACCCCCAATTGATCTGCCAACTCTTGAGCATCTCTTTCCACTTTAACATCAAAGGCTAAGATCACAGCATAATCTGGAGCAATTTCCAGCATAACGGAAGCTTTCATAACATCTTTTTTGACAACAGGACCGATTCTAACACCAGAGTAAGGAATTTTAGAATCTTTTAAAAATTGTAAAAGAGCTTCTAAGGATCCTAAGGTGGATGCTTGAACGTAAACACCTTTATCGACACATTTTATTGACTTCATTGCTTCACCGAAACGTTTCCATGTTAATTCTTTTAATTCAGCTAATTCTTTATCATTTTTGGCGACATGTAATTCTAAACCAGCTATAGTTTTGTCTAAATCATGTCCAGTCAATTTAATTCCCATTGAACCGTAGACTTGCTTCAATTCTTGGAAAGGACATTTAACACGTAACTCTCTCAATGGTTGAGGGACTAAAATAGATCTAATTGAAGTATCAAAAGGTCCATCGTGCCCTGCCATAACGATTTTATCTCCTTCCCGAAGTTTACCATTAACAAGGACAACATCAATAGTGGTTCCTAAGCCCGGTAATGCTTTAACTTCCAGAACGGTTGCTTGAAGTTTATCTGGGTCAAATTGCAGTCTTTTCTTTAATCGCTCCTGGCAATAGAACACTATTAAGTTTATCAAGTTACCCATTCCATCACCTGAATGAGCTGAGGTAGGGACCATAGAAACATAGGTTTTTGGATCAGGATTATTGTAATACAACGCAGCATTCAATTCATTCTCATTCATAGCAAGAATAACGTCTTTTGTAGCTCGTTGCTCAAATTCAGCTCGTGTATGAGATGCTTGAGACTTGATCAGTTCTTCAACATCTTTACGTGGATTGCTTTTCCAACCATACAATCGATCAATCTTATTCAGAGCGATGATAAATGGTGTTTTACGAGATTTTAAAAGATTAATTGATTCAATTGTTTGTGCTTCTAAGCCGTGCATAATGTCAACAACCAAGATAGCTATATCACACAATGAACTACCTCTAGAACGTAGATTTGTGAATGACTCGTGACCTGGAGTATCGATAATTAAAAGTCCAGGCAGTTTAAGCTCAGTAACGTCTTTAACTATTTTACATTGGTCGTGAATAGCTGATGGAGGCACAAAGGTAGCACCAATTTGCTGAGTAATACCACCAGCTTCATTGTCCTGGACATGTGTTTTCCGTATATAATCCAAAATCTTAGTCTTTCCTGTATCTACGTGTCCCAAAACACAAATAACAGGAGACCTCAATGAAGGCGGTTGTTCTATCGTTTTATCTGGTTCACCACCTTTTGAAGTTAAAGTTGTACCAGATTTATTGGAAATATCATTCACTTTGTTTTCAACCGGTTTCAATGGCTCCTTGGTTTCTTTAGACAATTTATTATTTGCTTTATTCAATTCCTTTTCCTTCTTCTCCTTATCGGCTGCGCTGGACTCCTCTGTTAAATCTTCCCAATTTTCTATCTCTTCATCACTAGATTCATCACTAGATTCAATTTCTATTTCTCCTTCGGGAATTTCATCAATTTTCTCTTTAGTTTCTCCGTTCGATGTTTCAGTTTGACCATTATCACCAGAACCACCAGCAGCAGCTTTCTGAGCTGCTCGATTCCTTCTGTAGGCTCTATCCTTGTCAACTTTAGCTCCAGGTTCTTTACCAACAATGATAGCACCTTGTTGCTTCAGAAGCTCAATCGACATCAATGCTCTCTGTCGATCTTTTTTCTGTTTATCAGTAAGTAATTTACCTTCCTTTTTGAGTCTTTCTTTTCTTTCTTTTTCCTTTTGTTTCTTTTTTTCTTTTTTCTCTTTTTCTTTTCGAAGTTTTTCCAATCTTTCTCTCTCAGCTTCTTCTTCCCTGCGAATCCTTTCTTCTTCCTCTTTTTTCAATCTCTCCTCCTCTTCTTGCTTCTTCTTTAATTGTTCTTTAATAAGTGCTAATTGTTTAGCACCAGGACCTTTCTTGACAGCAGCAGCACCAGTGGCAGGAGCATCTTTTTTTGCTTTTTCATCAGCTGCTTTCTCCTTCTTTTTGGCCTTCTTCTTAGCATCTTTCTCTTTTTGTTTCCTCTTTCTTTCTTCCTCAGGATCTAATAAAGCCTAAGAAAATGGTAAAGAAAAACATTAGAATACAAACAATAATAAAGTATGAAGAGTACTTAGAGTATGGTTAAATGATGACGATGAAGGAAAAACTGTTAGCATAAACCATACCTAAGAAAAAGAAAAAGCTATCAATATCTACTTACTCCAGATTCATTGACTGGTTTTTCTTCAGTTGTATCTCCCATAATTCCAGAAATTAAACAAACACAATTAAACTGATTATCAGTTATAAAAAAAGAAGAGAAAAAAATAAATTAATTGAAATTAAGCTAATATACGATGAAAAAACATCACCTAACAAACAACATGGATAAGTAGTGGAAAATGAACACACATGCAGCTTTAATCTTCTGCAGCTTTAATAGTGTGCCACTAGATGGAATAAAAGTCAGCTGTATTCAAAGAGGAGACTCGATGCCAAAGAGTAATGTAGAAGAGACTGCGATAGATGAACATAAATGGGTATTTCTTTCGGAGTGGGATAGATGGCGCAAAAGAAAGAGTCTCTTTCTTTTCTCTTTCTTTTTATTTCATTAGCCTTTCTTTTTCTCTTTCTTTTCCCTTTCTTTTCAACTATTGAAAATTGTATTTAAACAATTAATATTGTAGTTGGAATTGACTTTCAGCCTAATTTTTCATTGTTTTTCATTTTATATTTACTCAAAACGATTTTTTACTTTAAATTACGTTTCTTAGCCGTCTTAATAACGTCTAATAAATGACGTCTAAGAACCTCACTAATCTGACTCATTCTTATTCAATGAAATCTTTTTATCAATCGACATTATTAACTACCCTTGCAATATTCAGAACAGAAATTCAATAAAATTCATCTACTAATCTTCGAATAGTTCTAGAATATTTGATATTTGAGGTTCGATTGCATGCTTTCTCATGAAATTCATTTGTAGTGGTTTCATTCTGTTTGATTTAGGGCTGTCGATCATCGCATGCTGATCGGATTGGGTTCTTTGGGTTCCCTATGAAAGATGGAAAAATTTTCGAAGAACAATAGTCGATGATTATACAATTAATTTGAATGAATGCTTGCTTAAAAGTTTCAAGAGTAGTTAATAATGTCGATTGATAAAAAGGTTTTATTGAATAAGAATAAGTTAGATTACTGAGTTAATTATAAGACGGCTAAGAAACGTAATTTAAAGTAAAAAAATCGTTTTGAGTAAATATAAAATGAAAACGATGAAAAATTAGGCTGAAAGTCAATTCCAACTACAATATTAATTGTTTAAATACAATTTTTCAATAATTGAAAAGAAAGGGAAAAGAAAGAGAAAAAGAAAGTCTAATGTGAGAAAAAGAAAGAGAAAAGAAAGAGACTCTTTCTTTTGCGCCATCTATCGTTTTACATATGAAATTGGCTTTTCTGTTCATCTATCGCTCTCTCTTCCTCCTTACTCTTTGCTCGATGCAATTTTGCGAAATAAAATTTATATTTTCTGAAAAACTCATGAGTTTGATTTTCAACAAACTAGAGATGTGCGATAATATCGTTATCGATGATAATTATCAATATTTCAGCGCTCGATATTTATCGATATTTTGTTCGCCCATTGAAACCAAAGTTAAATTTTGATAAAAATATCCATAGATATCGATATTGAAATTGTAGTTGTAGTTGAAATTGAAATAATCGATTATCGCTAATTGAATGGATAATTAGATACTTTATGAGTTACTGACAAAATTTAACAATTTTCATCAAAGTTATCATGTGAATTATAAAAAACATTTCTCATTATAAATATATGCAAATCGAATGGATATTTCGATACATTTGAGTCTACTAACATGATTTAATTACTACACCATGTTATCATATTTCCAATAAAGAATGTTTATTTAGATTTATAAAATTGAATGGATACTTTGCAACCGTCGAAGTGACTGACATAATATAACAATTTTTAAATAGTTAATATTCAGACATTTTTAACATAAATATAGCCGAATTGAATGTACAGTTCGAGTCTTTCGAATGTACTGCGTTAATTTAACAACAAATTACAAAATGACAAATATTCAGACATTTGCAACATAAATATCGTCAAATTAAATGTACAGTTCGAGTCTTTCCAATTTACTGTTATAATGCAACAAATTACAAAATGACAAATGTTCAGACATTTTTAACATAAATATAGTCAAATTGAATGTACAGTTCGAGTCTTTCGAACTTACTGTTATAATGCAACAAATTACAAAATGACAAATATTCAGACATTTTTAACATAAATATAGTCGCATTAAATGTACAGTTCGAGTCTTTCGAATTTACTGTTAAAATTTAACAAATTACAAAATGACAAATATTCAGACATTTTTAACATAAATATCGTCAAATTAAATGTACAGTTCGAGTCTTTCGAATTTACTGTTAAAATTTAACAAATTACAAAATGACAAATATTCAGACATTTTTAACATAAATATCGTCAAATTAAATGTACAGTTCGAGTCTTTCCAATTCACTGTTAAAATTTAACAAATTACAAAATGACAAATATTCAGCATTTTTAACATAAATATGGGCAAATTGCATCGACATTTCGAGTCTTTCGAATTTACTGTTAAAATTTAACAAATTACAAAATGACAATACTCAGACATTAACATAAATATGGGCAAATTGCATCGACATTTCGAGTCTTTCGAATTTACTGTTAAAATTTAACAAATTACAAAATGACAATACTCAGACATTAACATAAATATGGGCAAATTGCATCGACATTTCGAGTCTTTCGAATTTACTGTTAAAATTTAACAAATTACAAAATGACAATACTCAGACATTAACATAAATATGGGCAAATTGCATCGACATTTCGAGTCTTTCGAATTTGCTGGCATCAATTTGCAAAAATCTTGAACGTAATATAAAAAATCTTTTGATTTCCTTTTTCAGTCTTTTGTTTCTTCCTTTTTCCTTTTGTTTCTTTTTTTCTTTTTTCTCTTTTTCTTTTCGAAGTTTTTCCAATCTTTCTCTCTCAGCTTCTTCTTCCCTGCGAATCCTTTCTTCTTCCTCTTTTTTCAATCTCTCCTCCTCTTCTTGCTTCTTTAATTGTTCTTTAATAAGTGCTAATTGTTCAGCACCAGGACCTTTCTTGACAGCAGCAGCACCAGCGGCAGGAGCATCTTTTTTTATTTTATCTGCTTCCAGAACGGTTGCTTGAAGTTTATCTGGGTCAAATTGCAGTCTTTTCTTTAATCGCTCCTGGCAATAGAACACTATTAAGTTTATCAAGTTACCCATTCCATCACCTGAATGAGCTGAGGTAGGGACCATAGAAACATAGGTTTTTGGATCAGGATTATTGTAATACAACGCAGCATTCAATTCATTCTCATTCATAGCAAGAATAACGTCTTTTGTAGCTCGTTGCTCAAATTCAGCTCGTGTATGAGATGCTTGAGACTTGATCAGTTCTTCAACATCTTTACGTGGATTGCTTTTCCAACCATACAATCGATCAATCTTATTCAGAGCGATGATAAATGGTGTTTTACGAGATTTTAAAAGATTAATTGATTCAATTGTTTGTGCTTCTAAGCCGTGCATAATGTCAACAACCAAGATAGCTATATCACACAATGAACTACCTCTAGAACGTAGATTTGTGAATGACTCGTGACCTGGAGTATCGATAATTAAAAGTCCAGGCAGTTTAAGCTCAGTAACGTCTTTAACTATTTTACATTGGTCGTGAATAGCTGATGGAGGCACAAAGGTAGCACCAATTTGCTGAGTAATACCACCAGCTTCATTGTCCTGGACATGTGTTTTCCGTATATAATCCAAAATCTTAGTCTTTCCTGTATCTACGTGTCCCAAAACACAAATAACAGGAGACCTCAATGAAGGCGGTTGTTCTATCGTTTTATCTGGTTCACCACCTTTTGAAGTTAAAGTTGTACCAGATTTATTGGAAATATCATTCACTTTGTTTTCAACCGGTTTCAATGGCTCCTTGGTTTCTTTAGACAATTTATTATTTGCTTTATTCAATTCCTTTTCCTTCTTCTCCTTATCGGCTGCGCTGGACTCCTCTGTTAAATCTTCCCAATTTTCTATCTCTTCATCACTAGATTCATCACTAGATTCAATTTCTATTTCTCCTTCGGGAATTTCATCAATTTTCTCTTTAGTTTCTCCGTTCGATGTTTCAGTTTGACCATTATCACCAGAACCACCAGCAGCAGCTTTCTGAGCTGCTCGATTCCTTCTGTAGGCTCTATCCTTGTCAACTTTAGCTCCAGGTTCTTTACCAACAATGATAGCACCTTGTTGCTTCAGAAGCTCAATCGACATCAATGCTCTCTGTCGATCTTTTTTCTCTTTTTGTTTTCTCTTTTTGTTTTCTCTTTTTTTCTTCCTCAGGATCTAGTAAAGACTGAGAAAATGATAAAAAAGACATTAGAATACAAACAATTATAAAGTATGAAGAGTACTTAGAGTATGGTTAAATGATATCGATGGAAGAAAAATGGTTAGCATAAACCATACTCAAGAAAAATAAAAGCTATCAATATCTACTTACTCCAGATTCATTGACTGGTTTTTCTTCAGTTGTATCTCCCATAATTCCAGAAATCAAACAAACACAATTAAACTGATTATCAGTTATAAAAAAAGAAGAGAAAAAAATAAATTAATTGAAATTAAGCTAATATACGATGAAAAAACATCACCTAACAAACAACATGGATAAGTAGTGGAAAATGAACACACATGCCGCTTCAATCTTCTGCAATGCAGAAGATTAAAGCAGAATCTGCAACTTTAATAGTGTGCCACTAGATCAAAGAGTAAAAAAGAATAGATAGCTCTCCATTGGATTCAATGAGAAGTTTAGTTAGCGGTCCTCAACGAGAGGCGCTCAAATCAGTCACTCTTTCAATCTCTTGCAATTTAATTTTTATTCTATTTTTTTATCTAATCTCTTAAAAATACCTTTGAATTACCTTAAAGCGCCCTCGCCAGAGCCAATTTGTTAGTGTTGTATTGTTCTTGTTCTCCAGCGCCAGGAACAATTGTTCTTTGTTCTGTTCCGTTGTTTTGTTCCGAAAAATCGGAACTAGGAACAACCTAGGAACAGAACAACCCAAAATCTAGAACAGAACAAAGAACAATTGTTCCTGGCAAAGAACAAAGGTGACGCAATAAAATGCTAAATGAGTGCCTAAAGTAACCCTTTAACACCAGAGGGATTCAAGTCAAACCCTATTTTGCCCAAAATCTGTTGATAAATTAAAATTTTCACCAAAATTGTTCTCAGTTTTAGTGTTTTGTTCCGCTAGGTTTTTTTTTGTTCCGATTTGTACTGTTCTTGTTCTTGTTCTTGTTCTCGATTTTAAGAACTAGGAACAACATTTTTTGTTCTTGTTCCGAAGAAATTGTTCTTCTCGTTGTTCTTGTTCCTTGAAAATATTGGAACAATACAACACTACAATTTGTAAGCTTCACAAAATTGTATTAAGAGAAACCTCTTTTCCTTTACTCTTTGCACTAGATGGAATAAAAGTCAGCTGTATTCAGATAGGAGACTTGATGCAATTTTGGGGAATTAAGTTTTGAATTTTATTTTTAAAGTTCGCTTTTCAATCAAACCGACCGATTTTTGTGACCGCAAGAGATAAAGGTCTGAAACTTATTTTTTTGTGTATAAAAATTAATTGCACAAATCATGCGTTCAATATTTTTAATATCCATCTATTGTTCTCTTGATATTAATACATTGTAATTGATTTGAAAAGTTCGTACTTCAATATTTCGAGGATGGCATCAGTTATCATCATCATTCTTTGGGAAAGTATTAGATTTCATAGTGGGTCATGATATAACGAAATATTGATTTATTCAAGAAAATAAGAAGATGGTCGATATACCTAATCCAACAAGTGTGAATCCAGTTGAGAGTTCTGTAGTGAATGGTCATAAAATTGTATCTTGTTTATAGTAATTAGTTTTCAAATATGTTTTCATTTAAAGTGATTTGATAATTTATTACATGAGATAGCAAGATTTAACTTAATCTTGGTATAAATTTTTGAACTTTCAACGTGTTTGAATTAATAATCCTTGTTGTTATGAGATGCTAAGATGACAGTCTTAATGGCGACTTATGCTGAGAGTTGATAATCTTTCCTTGATTCCACGTTGAAGACCATTAGGTGTCCTGAAAACTAATTTACAATAAATGATGAGAAGACCAAATGTTACGACAAGAAGAATGCCAAGTAGCCCAACATAATAAAGAAATGAAATTGGACTGTTGGCCATTAAAGTTGCTGCAAGTGCAGGATGAGCTGATTCACCAAAGACTCCAGGAATGATAATAATTGTTGAGATTTTCCCAGTAATTGTAATGTGTTTTGCTAACATTGCGTATGCAGCTGAAAATATCGGAGATAAACCCATTCCTAAGAAAATGAATCCAATCCAAATGCAGATTTGATGTGTATTTGCCCAAGGAACACAAATAACGACTCCGATAAACATGAACAATAGATTTACCAGAAGTAACTTTACTTCGGATGCAACGAATGTTAACGGGATGAAGATCAATCGATAAAAGGAGAAACAAGACCAGAAAACAGTTGCAAGTAAAACACCAGTCCTTTTGTCCATATGAAGATCGGATTTGACTGAAAATGAAGCTCCAAGGGAACCTGAATAAATAGCACAAGTTATTATTGTTTGATCTCAACTTTGTGGAGGTTTTGCTTACCAATCACTGCCTCTAAACTGTACACAAGATGACTGATGATCACTACTAAAATGATTCCTCCGTTAGCTTTCAATGGAGACCATTCTTGTTTCGGCTCAATGTCGGAACTTATTTGTACATTGTTTTTGTTTTTGTTTTGATAGCTTCTCTCTTTCAAATATACGTATCCCAATGGCAATGCAATTACCACTGATATGGCGCCAATAATCATGAAAGCATATTGTGCCTTTACATCACTCGCAGTTGGCTTGATATTGATTGGTTCAATAATGGGACTTGCAAACGTTTCATTTATCGCTCTTTGGACATTTGGTTCTCCTTCCTCTGGTATCAAGAATGGTCGACACAAGACTGGAGTCAATAGTGAACCGATTCCAACAGACATGTGTAACGCTTGTAGCCAATTGGTACATTTATCCTTCCATGTGTCTGTAATCAATGTATTACAGACTGCGTTTTTGAAGAAAAGCATCAAAGATGTCATTAAAACTAAAATGATAAAAGACAATATTACTTACGAACGTCCATGATGCCATGAGCAATACCAGAAATGAATAGACAACAAGCAGCATATTCAAATTGAAAGAAGTTTGGAGCAGCACCAAGAAAGATGCCAGAAATCAAATTGCAAACGGAAAGGACGAGACATCGATTAAATCTCTGCTCAATGAATCCAGCTTATGAAAAACGAAATTAATCAACTTTGAAATATATTTCAAAATGAAACTAGACTTACCAGAAGCTGAACCAAGTATGTGACCAGCGCTACGAAAGGGAATCAAATATGAAACTTTGGCAAAATCAACATTTAAACGTATTTGTAAATCAAGTAAACTGGAACCAAGAAGATTCAAAGCTGATCCCAAACACAAAAAAGTCAAATAAGCGAGCAATGTTTTAAATAGTCTGAACCTATTTTCACAAATAAAACGAATGAGTTTCATTTTGGTTCAAGTGAAGATGTTGCTAGTTTTGTATCAAATGAAGTGAATGAATTCCTATTTATCTCTTCTCTTTGTACGAAGTAATCTTGTTAATCTCTTCGACTTATCAATTCGATTATGTGAAGACTTTTATCTCATTGCAATAAAACTAAACAATTAGGTAATAATACAGACACCAGGAAAAGCGTGTATTTAACCCGCGCTTTGAACCACAAAAAAAGATAATCAAATGATAAAATTCATTATTTCATAACAATGATACTAATGAGATAATTTCTGTTGCACTTTTTATTAACTCATTTCTAACCGATATTCATTGCATTAGTGGACAAACTGACCAGCAATTCCCTCCAGAATCAGTTTTAATATCTTTCTCTTTTGAGTTATTTCTCATGTTTTACTTCATTGATTGATATTCAATTTGGAAACTGTTTTAAAAGGCTTGTTAGTTGGGCCTTGTGTCCGTATAACTAGACCGTTATGTTAACTTATGAAGCCAACTCAGAGTGAACTTGCTTTACCCACTTGCCTTACTCTTGGGTCCAATGTTTGAACAAACCAGTGTATTAATCAAAGAGTTACAGGATGTTAAGAAGTTAGATGCAGTGGGGTGAACATGGAATGGCGCAAAAATGAGCGGGTTTCCCATAATTTGCGTCTGAAAACGCAACCATAGAAACAAAAATATGTTCGAGAGAAACAGCAATCTACGAGCGATTGCAGTACCTTTGTAAACGGTAATTAACAAGTCATTTATTAACTGTTAAACGCACGAGTTGGTCATGTGGACTCAGTTAATCACGTACCGATCGGACCCCTCAATGAGTTATCAGACCTCCTACTGTTTGAAACGGACCTCTTAAAGACTTATCGAACCTCTCTCAGTACTAATTGGGCAAAAAACGGGTGGAAATGAATTTTATTCAAATTTAAACTATGAGAGTTTGTAAAGCAATCAAAACTGAATCTATTTGGGCGATTTAAAAATTTCTGTGATCAGCAGTTCTCGAGAAAATCACGTTCAAACTTCAAACTTCGATCGCATTTTGTACCGTTGGCTGAACAGATTTTTTTCATACAACTCATTTTCTTAATGTAAATTTAAATGCCAAACCAGGAAATGCACTTATTTTGAGAAATAGAACTTTTCGTTTTCTGTAAAACCCATAAGTTCGATTTTCAATCAAACGGGCCGATTTCTGTGACCACAAGAGTTAGAGATCTGAAACTCATTTTTTGAGCATAAAAATTGTTTGCACAAATCATGGATTGAATATTTTTTTTCATTTATAAACAATTCTCTTGATATTGGCCATTGACCAGAAAAGTTCGAGCCTCAATATTTCGAGAATGACACCACCTATCATCATCAGTCTTCGAACAAATACTAGATTTCATTGTGGGCTATAATTACTTGAAATATCAAATTATTCAAGATTCTAAAGAAAAAGTTAATGCATTGGTGTACTTATGTTACCAGATTTTAGATTTGGTTTATAAAGTAAAATGGGTACTCAAACGCCAATCATTATTAAATGAATGAACTCAGATTTTACTGTTGTTGACTTATATCATATTATAGTTCATAGTAAAATCTAATGTTTGATCAAAGAATGGTGATTGTATGTGGTATCACTCTCGAACTATCGAAGCTCAAACTTTTCAGGTCAATGGCCAATATCAAGAGAACTATTGATAGATATAAAAAATATTGAACGCATGATTTGTGCAAACAATTTTTATGCACGATGAATAAGTTTCAGATCTCTAAATATTGTGGACACAGAAATCGGACGGTTTGATGGAAAATCGAACTTATGGGTTTTGCATAAAATAGGAAACTTTATTTCGCAAAATAAGTACATTTTCTGGTTGAGCATTAAAAATTATATAAAGGAAATGAGTTTCATTAAAAAATCTGGTCAAACAACTGTACGAAATGCGATCAAAGTTTCAACTTTGACCTCAATTTCCTCGAACACTGGCCATCGGAGAAGTTTTTGAATAGTACTAAGGAACGTAGTTTTTATAGTTTTACGGATTTACAGAGTTCAAATTTGCAAGAATTTGATTTTTGCCCGTTTTTGCCCACTTTGTTGACAAGTTTGATGCATAAATGTTACAAATGTGTTTATTGTGTCTTTTTAGCAACAAATGCATTGTTTTATGATTGAGAATATTGTTTTATAATGAAAATGAATAATTTACACAATATTTTAGGACAATGAGGTTTTTTTAATGATGGCTAACACTGAGTGTTGAGAACCTTGGTCCTATTGAAGGATGAGCAATATGGACAGTTGGTGTTTTTAATACCGTTTTACAATATATCATCAATGCCAAGAATGAAATAACAAGTACAACACCTAATGCAGCATTGTAATAAAGATATAAAATTGGACTATTAGCAAGTAAAGTAGCAGCAATTGCAGGGTGAAATAATTCACCAACAACTCCAGGAATAAAAATCATTGATGATATTTGACCAGTAATAACGATATATCTCGATAGCATTCCAAGTGATGATGAGAAGATGGTCGATAGTCCCAATCCAACGAGGGTGAATCCAGCCCAAAGACAAGCCTCATTGTTGTTAGCCCATGGTACAGAAACAACGACACCAAGCAAAGTAAGTAACAAACTAAAGGCCAATAATTTAGCTTCAGCTACGATGAACGTTAATGGGATGAAGATTAATCGATAAAATGAGAAACAAGACCAGAAAACAGTTGCAAGTAAAACACCAGTCTTTTTGTCCATATGAAGATCGGATTTGACTGAAAATGAAGCTCCCAGGGAACCTGTAAAGTCAAAGGATTAAACGATTGAAATAACTAATAAGGACAATAATAAACTTACCAAGAACTGCTTCCAAGCTATAACAAAGATGGCCAACCACTGCTACCAGGAAAATGGCGATATACTTTTTCCATGGACTGATTTGCGAAGATGGTTGAGGCACTTGAATGTTGACGGCATTCACCTCTTTCTTACTGTATTCTGTGATACTTCTTTCTCGGAAATATATACAAGCGTAAAAGAAAGAAACGATTACTGATAAAAGGCCAATGATCACGAAGGCATATTGAATCATTACATCTTTGGCAGTATAAATTGATACAATCATTGGATCTGCAGTTGTGTTTGCTGTTATTAATGCACTTGAATCTGGTTCAAGACTTTCTTCTGGTAATAAAAATGGACGACATATAACTGGGGTTAGTAGAGAGCCAATTCCCCATGACATGTGAAGAACTTGTAACCAATTCGTACTCTTTTCCTTCCAAGTGCTGGTCACTGAAGTATTACACACTAGAAATCAAAAATAAGTTAGTCCGAAGGGTTTCGTTTTAACCATTTTGATAAGGCACAAGCGATCTTTGAAGGATCACTTACGAGTCATTGTAATAAATTCATTGTTGAAATGGTTTATGTAGGATCTAGAAGCATTCATACATAAGTCATTTTAGCAAGCTAAATTGTTTGCGGTCAAATGTTTTATCGACTTACAAATATCTGACATTCCATGAGCAACACCAGCTATTACCAGAAATATTGAAGTAAACTCAAATTTGGTAAAGAATGGAGCAGCTCCAAGAAAAATTCCAGAGATCAAATTGATTATCCATAAAAGAAGAGATCGGTTGAATCTTTGCTCGATCAAACCAGCTGTTAATCAGAAACACCAGATTGAATAAAGTGACATTTAACTGAACCAGATTATCCAAACTTACCAAGAGCAGATCCAAGTATGTGACCGGCACTACGGAAGGGAATTAAATAGGAAACTTTGGCAAAATCAACATTTAAACGTATTTGTAAATCAAGTAAACTGGAACCGAGAAGTGTTGTTGCTGATCCGATGCAAAAATATGCGAAGTAAGCGAGTATGGTTTTAAATAGTCTGTACCTATTGTCACTAATAAAACGTATTATTTTCATTTCTATTAGACTCAAATATTTGATAATCTACTGTAGTTGAGAGTTCTGTAGTGAATGGTCGTAAAATTGTATCTTGTTTTTTATACTCTTCACCCAATAATCTTGCTAATCTTAAGGTTTATTAATGAAAGTTGATATTTTTATCATAAACCAATTAAGTTTTATGAGTGTTTCATTGTCTCGAAATCTTTCGGGTAGCAAATTAAAGATTAACGAGAAAATCGATTAACGGAATCAAAGTTCAATTTTTAACATGTAAAGTATGGTAAAGAGCATACAAAACTAAACTAGTAAAACAAAAAGGTTTATCACAATGGGTTCATATTATTGCTTTCCCATTGATCTATGCATAGCGATCGACAGTAAATGGCGCTTTTCGAACCTTCTGTCCATTTGCTACTTAAAAGACGACAAACTATATTGTTTGTTAGCAAGACAAATTCAATGACACACTAACCATTGAAATCGGTTCGGATGACCTCGGGTACCTCCCTTGTTAGACTCATAAATCCATGTAATCTCAGTTATTGTTGCATTATTATAATAGTCTTAAATAACCAAGCGTGTTATAATTCAATAATAATCGAGTATGAATAGAGTAATAAACTAAAAATTCAATAATTTTTCTAACTTTGCTGAGTAATTCTTGAAGGAGGTGAATAAATGACTATGTTATCAGAGAGACAGTAGATATCAAAACGTGTTTAATCGTGAATGGCTTCAGAGCGCTAAGTGCAACGGCATCAATCCAAATATACTTGATTTTGTATCATTGGTTTGTCATTTAAATATAAATTGTTACATAAAATTGAAAAGAATCTCCTTTGATATTACTTAATAAAACTCATGTTTTATTGTAGGCCAATAGGGTAAGAAAAATCAGTTTTTTAATCTATTCACCATCTTTTGATCAAAACTCCCAAGGCTAATCTGTTCAGGTTCAATAACTTAGTTGAACAAATTATTACATTGGATAACATTATTAAACTTGCATGAATGTTAAATTTGAAGATTAAGTATATTAGGCAAACAAAATGATGGACTTTATTTAAATTTGCTTTTAATAATAGCGTTTTGATATCAGACTTTTTCTTGATTATAAATCAAGGGAAGTCAAAATGGCAAGTTGAAAATGGTTACAAATTATGTGTTACAATCTTTAGAGATTGAAATCTCATAGTAATGTTAAATAGGGATTTTGATTTTGATTTTGCTAAGAACGATTTGGATAAAAATTTTGATTTAACAATCTATCAATTTGTACAAATTTGAAAAATGGCCATCCAGGCTGAAAGACCTTTGATTATCTTTCAATCTTGGTGTTAACAATAATCAGGGTTAAAAATGAGTTTTGCGATGAAAATAAAAGATGCAGTAATAATACATATATATTGGGTATGATATGATTGTTATGATGAATAGTTTTAAGAAAGCTCTTCATTTTTCATTGATCGTTGTCCTCTTCCAATCCAATCCAAAACAATTAACCTTCGTCAATTCGCGCTTTACAAAATATATTTGTACTTTGTCATTTATTGCACTTTGTAATGAACTTTTTACGTCTTTATAATTCGACTGATTGACGATTGAGCATTTATACCAACAATCAATATTTAATATTATGGTCAAAGGCTATGGAATGAAGAAAAAGTGATTCCTGGATTCAAGAAATGTTGATTAGTGTTTGTAGCTGAAGTCAAATTTAGTAGAATCATCGGCATTTTGATAATCTCCAATTTCAATTACGTGTGAGATAATTAAATTTCTCGTCTTCATCTTTGCATAGATGGATAATTTCAAATTACTTCACAGTTTTTTGGATGAGTTGGGTTGGCGTTTTAAACTTGTGAAACATCCGCATTCCGTTTGGTACATCGATGCTCCTCGTCTTGATCCTCAGAGCAACAGGTTTTATCACTGCAGGTTTCACGGCCTTTTTTGCAAATGTAAAGACATTTACCATTAGCTTGGGACTCTTTTGGAAATTCAGGTTGAACTGTTGCCAGAGTTATACCTTCACGAGCTAAAAATTTACAAATTTGTGAAGATAGTTTATTATATGAGTGGCTGGTGAGTGCAGGCAAAGATATGTGGCAAGTTGCTATGACTTTGTCTCGAGTAAGGCACCAAACATGAAAATCGTGAATCTCAATGATGGTTGGAAATTCCCGGCATAAAGCTTCCTTAACCTGGGTAACTTCAATATGCTTAGGAACGGTTTGCAGTAAAATAAGGCCAGATTCCTTCATTGAGGGGTAAATCATTGAGAGAATGATGAAAATTCCCAATAAACCAGTGATGGAGTCAATTAGGGAACAGACATGATGATCGAAATAATAAAGACTAGTTGATGCTCCAATCAACAATAATGATGTACCAATTGATTTGATTATCTTCCAACAAATATTTTCCTTTTCCTCTGTGAATTTTTCCTCTGAAAAAAGTAAAAAAAATCAAATTAATATTTTAATAAATCACAGCTGAAAATTGACAATCAATCGAACCCACAAAAGTCAAACAACCAGCAAATAAACACCAAAAGTATCAATTAATATACGGATATTCAACTCAAAAATTGGTTAAAGATAATTTATTTTTAAACTGTCTCTCACTTAATAATCTGTCAACAGTCAAGTTGTTAAAAAATAATAAATACGTGGATCATGTCGATATTTTTATCCTTACACTTTAACCAACCATTGCCAATGCAACCTTATTACATTTTATATGTAATTTTGGTTATTGTGTTTACTCGATCTTATCGAATCAATTTAACGTTACTAAATAAATGACATAGATACAATTTGGACATTAATTGTACCATCAAAAGTCCTCATTGTTGGACTTCAATGTAACAGTAAAATAAAAGCTTTACAGAAATAGCGGAGCAAAGTCCTAAACCAGAACAAGGTTGTTCAAAAGTACCAATGTAAAGGTTTTGTAAGTGGTAATTTTATAGTAATGGTAATAATGATGATGTTGAGTGTTTAATCAACATTATCTTTAGTATGACTATGTAAAAGTTTAAAAACAAAAACACTTACATCAATGATATTTGGAGCGTTGTATTGAAATAGCAAATTTCATTGATGTACATGTAAGCATAAGTCAAAGTCTAAATAATATTTGATTGTATATAATTCAATACAAGGTTCAGCTCTGTAAGTAAATTAATACGTATTGAACAGTTACAAATACAAGACAACAATAGACGTTGAATCAAGGCTAAATTTGTTTTGCAAGCTTAACTGTCATTGAAATGGGATTTACTCGATTCATTGAAAGTGAGTGAAAAAGGGTAAAATTTAGTGGAGTTGAAATATTCAGCAAAAAAAGGCTTATAATGTATGAGTAAATAACTAAATGGTTTTATTCAAACTAAATACTGAATATCATTTAGAGGGTTGACTGGAGATGAAATGACGAGATGATAATTTCATAAAACCCTGATGTAGTTGTTTTAGACAGGTTTAACAATGAATCCTTCAAATCATTTGCGTCTCTTCTCATCTTCCAAGTTACTTGATGATTGAAGATCATTGACTCTCATCAAAATTATCAATTGATACAATTGATAATTCTGTAAGTAATGATGGAAAAGTGATTGCAGTAAATTATCATAAAAGTAGTGGGAAAAGGCAAGTTTGGAAATCTCACAGTCATCATACATCTACGACTACAAAGCTAATTCAAATATACCTCTACGTAATCAAAGGAAATCCCTTCTCTTAATTAGTCGCTAAGGGAATATATAATATGAATTATATAAGATTCAACAGGAAAATAATCTTCCTGGTGAAAATGGTAACAACTTCAGTGTGTGCTAAGCGTCAACTGTTGAAGTTATTTCAGATATAAATACAATTGCACCTGAATGGCTGCCAAAAAGTGAGTGTTTTTAGTTGAAACTAGAAACAAAACTGGTTCATAAATGAACAAAGTGAAACAATGTTGGCTTATTTCTGACAATTAGTTAGTAAATTGATTTTTCCCTTTTAATCAAATTTAGCTTGGTCATAATTAAACTGTCTGAGTAAACTAATGAATTTTTCGAGTTGGAAATTTGATTGTAATTGATGGAAAAAAAACTTGGATTGAGAAAAAATAATTCTGAATTGAGTGAAAAGGTTGTTTTTAACCATGCAATCCACCTTTTCATTGAACAGAAATAGTCTAAAATTGTTTTCACAAGAAAAAGTTGCAGCTAATCAACTGTAAATCAAAGAAGAAAAAACCTTAATTTCAGGTTTTATTCCTGATTGATTGGAAACATGTTAACTAAGCAAGTGAAACAAGGAAAGATTCAACTGTGCAAATTTGATACTCGTCGGTGTATATTTTGGTTGCTTTATCATTTGATGAGTCCGATGAGTTTGTAAGTTGGTTTATAGTTGATTGTGAATCAATTGAAATTACCAGAATAATTTGAACAGGAATTGATTAGTAATTTATCCTTTGCTCCTTCCTCATTGTCATCATTGTATTGTTTACCCGTTTTGTTGGAGCTCTTTTGGCTTACTATCTCATAATCACCATTAACAACACAATTTACTTGAACTTCTTCTCCTCTAATGCTTAATTGAACATTTTTGGTCCTCGATGATTCTATTGAGAGAAGAAAAATTGATTAAATTAAGTAAATAAGAATGATTGCATTGAAAACATTGTCAGCTGAAGGTAGCTTTTGTTACTTACCATTGAAAAACAAGCATCGAAATAGATTCAATGCTAAACTATTAATTCCAGGAATTAACAGGTAAAGTGGATTAGTTATCTGAGATTCATGGTGAGATGAATGGATAAGATTTAAAATGCCCTCGACAAACACTGAGAAGCACATTGCCAAGATGAAAATGATGTTAAATAAAGCACCAAGAACTTCAATTCGAGCCCATCCAAAGGTAGCTCTTAGACTGACTGAATTAGCCATCTGTAATTAGACCAAACGATAAGAAAGTCAATTAGTAATTATTTGATAGAATAAGTAGAATATAATTGGGAATAAACATTATCTCGTTAAAGCTTTAAGTGGATTTACAATGTGTATAACATTGTAACAAAGCCTTGAATTATGAATGGGTTTACAACAAGATGGATCTTAATTAGTGCCACAAGTTTACCAGTATTTACACGACAAATTATGATACAGGGTGACAAATAATCTGGGATTTTCAACCTTATCTTTGTTTCTATCAGTCAGATTTTAACGCTGTAAAAATATTCTGAAGCTAATGTTAAATTTTCTCAAATGTGACCATTTCGATTGTTCTTGAAATTCAAATATGTTAAAGTAGAGGCAAAAAGACACTTTCATTTTTAGCCTTTTCAAAATATCTTATCTAATTTTCGTGGTTATTTCTGTTCTTTCAGGTGTTAGATGTCATAAATAGCTTTCGTTTTTCATGAGAGATCAGAAAGAAAAGTCTACAAGTCAAAAACGTGGAGTACGGAGTTTGAGGGAACCATGTCACCACCATGTCTTAAGAGTCTAATTTTACCAGTTTAACATTCAATTTCTAAAATAATGACAAATAGTTTACATACCCGGTTGCTCATTAAGGTTAACAGTAAAGTCATAAAGATGAACATGTTGAAATAACAATCGGAAAGTATGACCAGAGAGTGGGTGAGTTGATTCATGATGATTTCGGTTAAAAAAAGAAGGCCAAAAAAGAGGGTGATTAAATAAAACGAGATCGTCTTCCAAACCATTAACGAATTCATTTTGTAATGATAGAAAATTTGGTGTTTACAAATGGTTGAAAATGGTGTCTTAAACAATCTTCAAAAACAGTTGGCTGTTTTATTGGTAAAACTATTAATAAGTAGACACTTGAGTAAGGTTTAAAAGAAGGGAGTTGAGACCAAGATGATTAAAAGATGATGGTGTTGCTGAGATGACTAAATACCACAGAATACAAAAATCAAAGTTGTATCAAGGCAGTTAGTTGATGGAGATTGTAAATTAATTAAAAGAAATAAAAAGGGATAGAAATAAAGTTTAGTTGAAACAGTGACAATCAAAGAGTGAAGAAAAATAAATATCAACTTTGAACCAAGCTAGTTTATTTATGCTCGGCTCATCACAACAGTAGAACCTCCAGTTTCTTAAGTACTTTGATTGTCTTAACATGATTTTGTTTAAACACTAAGAGACTAGATAATAATGATGATCCTTCAAACCTTAATCATCACCAAATCATCAACTATTTAACTGATAAACTAAGTTACCAGCAAAAAGTGGAAGATAACCCAGATTTTTCAGCGCCATCTCTCTCCAAGTTGATTAACAAAATTAAATATTAACGGTATATTGTTATTGAATAACTGTAGATGGCACTGGCTTTATTTCCATGGAAACAAGTTGATTGTTTAATCGAGACAAGGTTTTTTGTTGTTTACCATTGATTTCAATGGTATTTGGAGACAAAAAAATGAATGAGACGTGACTAAATTTACTTTGTTATTAAATCTGTGCGTTTTTGATTACCTTAATCATAATTGGAGACACAGTAATCAACTTGTGTATATTGTTATTTTGTTTATAAACGTTTATATTTTAACCATGAGCAAAGTATGGTTTGATGAAAGATCATTGAATGAAAAATACGAATATGGTTTACTCGCTATTTGTATTCTTTTGATATTAAATTTGGTACTGATTGCTATTAAACGGCTACAACCTGTTGCCAATAATCCTCCCAAGCAGCCTCGTTTTCGTAAACGAGATAAAGTCATTTTCTATGGACGTAAAATGCTCCGGAAAGTGCGAACGTCTTTTCAAAAGTCAGGAAATCACAGGATTTTCAGGTTAAACCATTATCTACATCCTGAATTTGTTAGCTTACGACCAAATCAAAATTATTCAGCTGTTACTATTATTGGCGCTTCTGATGATGTACCTTTGGAAGCTTTTTGTGTTGAACTTAATCAAGCCTTAACCTCAATTGCAACAGTCATAACACTCTCTTCTGATTATATTCGTGAGGTTTTGGGTCCACGAGCTTTTGATGTATCCAATGAGAACAAGTTGTCCACTTGGTTAAAGGAACAAAGAGATCAATATCGTATAATTTTGTATCAATGTGATCGCACTTTTACTACATGGAGCCATCGTTGTATTCGCACTGCTGACTGTATATTAGTTGTTGGCTTAGCCAATTCTCCACCAACTGTTGGTCGAGTGGAAAAGCAGCTAGATTCGCTTGCCTTCAAAACACAAAAAGAACTCGTTCTTTTACATAGTAATCCTTCCAAATCTCCAGAGAATACTGTCCTCTGGTTAAACATGAGAGCTTGGTGTTCATGGCATCACCACATTCGATGTCCAAAACGAATGTTTATCAAAAAATCTCCAACCAAGATGAAAGAATATTGTGCAATTGTTGCATCTGAGCCTACAGATATTCATTCTGATCTTTCTAGATTGGCAAGATTCTTGACTGGCAGATCTGTTGGATTAGTTTTAGGTGGAGGTGGGGCCCGAGGATCAGCTCATGCTGGTATGATTAAAGCCTTATTGGAAGAAGGAATACCTATCGATATGATTGGCGGTGTTTCTATTGGTGCCTTTATGGGTGCTCTTTATTGTCAAGAAAGTGACTTCAACAAATTTAAGGACAAAGCCCGACATTGGGCTTTAGAAATGACTTCTTATTGGAGGCAAATTCTTGATTTAACTTATCCGGTTACCGCAATGTTTACAGGAGCAGCGTTTAATCGAACAATCCACAATGTTTTTGGTGAAAAGCAAATCGAAGATTTGTGGCTTCCATTTTTCTGTATTACAACTGATATATCATCAAGTTGTATGAGAATCCATAGATATGGATCATTGTGGCGTTATGTTCGTTCTTCAATGTCACTTTCTGGCTACTTACCTCCTCTCTGTGATCCCGTTGATGGTCATCTACTACTTGATGGTGGCTATGTAAATAATTTACCTGCTGATGTGATGAAAGAAGTAATGGGAGCTCATACGACACTCGCCGTGGACGTAGGTAGTCAAGATGAAACTGATCTATTCAATTATGGTGATACTCTGAGTGGCTGGTGGCTTCTCTGGAAACGTTGGAACCCATGGGCTACACCTGTTAAAGTTCCAAGTTTACCTGAGATACAATCTAGACTTGCCTTTGTTAGTTGTGTAAGACAATTAGAAAGAGTCAAGAACAGCTCGTACTGTACATACATCCGACCACCAATAGATAAATTCAAAACTTTCCAATTTGGTAACTTTGATGAAATATCGGAAGTCGGCTACAACCATGGTAAAACAATTCTGACCCCTAATTTAGCGAGCGACCTCCTTGCAAACACTCTTATTATTAGACAGCAAAAGGTTGGATAAAAAAGAAACAAAATTATATAAATATATAAATATAAATAACTGATATATCATTTATCTTGAAACAAAAATATTCCTAACTTCTATTGAATTACATTGTATTGTATTGGTCATTAACATCATCAAGATTATTGTCATCAAACTTAAGATACAAGTAAATGCCAAAGTATTGTTTAAATTATCTATAATCATTATTAATTTTTTGTTTTTGCCTCACATTGTTAGAAGCTAATCACCAACAAATGAACCCAAATTGACTCATTTTTTCAATGGTAAAACATTTTCTGCAAATTTTCCAATAAAATTTCCAGCTGGCTTATAATTACAGACAATAAAAGTCCCCTTTGAACCCACAGCTTTGCCGATTCCAATTTCCTTTGACCCTTTCCAAACAACCTGAGTGAAATGTCCTGAAAACAAATCAAAACCAACATTATATCAACAATTAATTATCAATGAAAATGATCGACTTACCAGTTCCACTGACAAAGGCTGCTTTATCCCAATTATACTTTGAAATTTCGCTATACCAAGATTCAACCGGCTTATCTCCTGTGAAAGATTAAAGCAGATTCAATTTAATCAATCAAATTATATTAATACAAAGATGCTGTTGAAATAAGATGATTAACAATGGATAATTACCATTTACAGCTGTCAATGAAGTCCAGAATACATTTTCACCAAACTCATTTTTGGGTCGATGTGATAAAGATCCGATTGAAGCCAGATGATTTGCCCAATCTTGAGCCAATTCATTGAGCTTGACAACAAAAGGTCGATACAATTATGAATTAGTCAATTTTTAATCCAGTTAGAAATATAAACTTCCCTTATCGATTATTATTATAGCTAAAACAAAGCTAATCACAAATCAATAACCAGTCATAGTTATACACTAATAAGGACAAAACATATGTTGATTACAACCTTAAGGATGATTCTAAGGCCTTTATTTGTACCTAGTCAAGTTAAACCCAGTCAACCGGTTATCTTAATCAGAATTAAATATCTGTTTACAGGTTTCTTTATAAATTATTATAAGTTAATCCTGATCAAAATCAAAGCTAAATTTTGATAAAAAATATTCATCTTTTACAAAATGCGTTTCCAACTCAATCCATCCAATTTTCAAGCAACACTAACCTCAACAAGAAAGCTCGCCATCTTTGATCAAATTTAAATCCTTCTCGATTCAAAACAATATAATAAACTTAAAAAACAATTAGTTAAAAGTAACAATTTAATAAACTCATTCTATTGTTTAACCATTGAAAATTACAGTCTAATCAGACTTAAGGATAACTACTGAGCATTAGACTCAGCATTCAATATTCATAACAATTGAATCAACAAAAAGCACATTTCTATATTAAGATGTCTCTCTTAACAATTAAAACTCTTCAAACCATTTCTTTAAATTCATCATTTAAATTTCATCGGACAATCAAATGAACCAGGCTTGTAGCATGATTGTCGGTCAGAGATGAAATGTACTGACAATCACAATTGAAAAAAGGATGGAAATGAAGTGGGAAAAGCAGGAAACATTATTTTCAATCTAAATCAGTCAAGGATAGACTGATTTACTGGGTGGATAAAAAATAAAGGGAAAAGGGGTTCGGTTTAATGTGCTCAGTCTTACTATTTAAAATGTAGACAAACCAAATTTGTCTTCTGAGCAACAAAAGGGGGTGCTTTCCCCTACCCACAATTTTTTATCCACCGAGTAGTTTAATGACTGGTTAAACTGTTAACGGTAACTCAAAAAATAGCAACAATTATCGGATGAAAATCTTAAAAATGTATCCTTTCGGTGCCCATGAAATTCCCAGAAATTTAACCGCAACAGTTTCAAGTGACAACATTTCACAGTTAATTGTTATTTAGTCAACTCAAATTACCTTGTCATTGATGGTCAATGGTTCAACTGCATGAAGTGATCTCAGTTGATTGTGTTTGCTTAGACAATCTTGTTTAAATTGGTCAACACTTTCTGATTTAACAGTTGATCCAGAATCTTTTGACTCATTGGCAGTTCTCACACTTTCATCTTTAATCCCTTGTACAGTCACAGGCTTATCTTCAGCTTTAACTTTAGCTTTATTTTCGGGTTTGTTTTCGGGTTTACTTTCTGGTTTAATCTCAGGACTAATCTTTGGTTTAACATCTTGACCAGAGTTGACACTTTTAACACCCGATTTTACAACTGAAGCATCTTTTGTTATTTCATTTTGATTCTCATCAAATTTAACTGTTAATCCATCAGCTGAGAGTTGGTCAAATTTAGCCAACAGTTGAGCAGTATCAATATTAGCACCTAAAAGGACACAGATTGGGTTAAACAAGAAGTTGGTTCATCTCCTAATTTTTACCTGTAATCTCCTCAATTGTGGTTTTAATTTCTTGAATCTCTCCATTTTCAACCAATTTACGGATAACAGTCTTTTTAATCACACATTTTGAACCTGAAATGTTAATCACTGTCGACTTATCGTCCATTATGAATAGAGGTTAAAACAAGGCAAAAATAAAACTCAAATACAATATTCAACCCAAAGTTGGAGTGAAAAAGTGAAACAATTAGCAAATGATTTCAATATTTATACAAATCTTGTGATTGTTTAGGAGCAAAATTGTTAACCATTTGATTGAAACTGTTGCCGATCATTTAATTATGGGTTTACCACGTTAATTGTCATTAGTTACAAAGATGGTTGACAAAAAGTGTCGAGTAAAAGGCTAAATAAAAAGCTATCAGACAATTACGATTATCATATTTTACTGTGATCTTTGATAATGATTAACCTTGATTAGTTATTGCCTATTTCATAGGAAATTAATAAATCACTGATTGTTGGGAAGGAAAGAGCAATAAAGAGTTGACAATGAAAGCAATTCAATTTTGTTTGATTAATCTGTCAAGATAGAGATGAAAATGGTTACATTTTGATTGATTTAGGATCAACTTTCAATGGATTTGATTGACGAAACTGTCAAACCTTAAGATGAGCAATTAGTGAGGAATTAACAAATCATGATTAAGATAATTTAAATAATGGAAAATGTAAATCCATTCAAATGAGATTTGCTTGGTTACATTCAAACCTTTTTCACCATCTTTTGTGTTTCTTCTGGTTTTTCAAATGGTTTCAATATAAAGGATTTGGATTGTAATCATCTTGATTCTTGTTGTTAACAATTAAAAATTAATAGAACATAAATTTGTACAATTTGATTCTTCTAAATTTGTCAATTGCAATTTATTAATTACTGTTAAACTGGAGAAAGTTGAAAGTTGCTGTTGATACATATTTTTACTCGACTCTCATTTACAATCGTCAAGTGTTGCTACAATTTAGTTAATTTGGTATGATTGATAAAATGGTTACTAAGTGTTCACTTTTACTCAACTTAATTGTCTTAATTACAATTTTGTTTCCTAGACAAACGTTGTTAATGAACGGTTACAGCGGCCAATCATCTTATATGCAACAACAATGTTCATGTCCACCTTTGAAACCCATTATTAAGTACATAGCTGTTGAAGTACCCAAAATTGTTCAAGTACCAAGTCCAGCTCCAGCACCAATGCCACCTCCGTCTCAATCAAAACCAAGGACTAAATTTATTGGTAAGTTAATGTTTATTAGTGAGTATTCATCATCAAATAGACAAATTATTTATCATTAGAAGGGAATTTAGATTAAATTGAAAAATCAAAAATCCAATGAATCTGGTCTCAAGTTTAGGTATTTTGAGAAACCCAAATTTTTGCTTTTATTGCTTGAGATTTTTACTCGGAAATTTTGGGTTGAAACTGGACTATTTCAAGTTATATTTTGAATTGTTTGAAGTGAATTGTTTCATGTTTAGCTAATCGACTTTTTATTTGGTTTTTATTTCTAGCAATTCAAGAGATTCATGTTCCTGCACCAGCTCCAGCACCATATCCGAGTCCGTCACCAATGACTGGTTGGTCTGGATAACAGTAATCCTCGACGCTCTATGGCAGTCAAAAGACGAGAAAAGTCATTCTTGTAATGAGTTGATTTTCAGGCCAATATTTTGCATTCGATTCCCTGACAGTTATTAACTTAACAGTTGTGTTAATATTGTTTATGGATTGATTTACTAAATTGAAATTAAATCTGTTAAATCTGTTAAAGATTATGATTGGAAATCAAAATTGAAATTAACAGGAAAATCAATAATGCGATTTTACTTGCATTTTCAACCTTTCTTAATAATGTGGTTCATACATTTTCAATGTCATTTTTTGTTCAAACAAGCCAAATAAAAATTTATTTTCTCTCATTAATATTTCATTGTAAAATTACTTTTTTAAGTTTAATTGTAAATTTATTGATTGGTTAAAAGATGAAAATATTAACAGTAATGAACGATTCCTTCATTGAGTGATATTTTTATATTGAATTTGATAAGGTTTGGAATTTATTGAGCTTTCATGTGTATATGAGAGCCATGTGTTTAGACATGCCCACTACAATTTGTAGCCTGGATTTTCCCTCTTTTTCAGAGGGTCACCAGTCTGAGTACAATGGACCCAGTTTGGGTTTACAATGAATAAGAGGTTACATAGTTTTGGTCTGTGACGGGAAAGTTTCTTGAGGATTTTGTTGGATTTGTTCGGGTTAGTTTTTGATTAATAGTAGGGTTTGTTTTTTAATGTGGATTATAGTTGGGTTTTATTCTAGCGTGTTTGTTGGTTAGAAATAAAGTGTAGAGGTTTGTTGAGGTTTTTGTTCAGTGATTTCCTGGTGATTTCAGTGAAGATTCTCTTTTTGTTTCTTTATCTTCTCTTTGATAATTTCGTTCAGTTTTTGTATATTTTCAACAATTTGCTTGTCCCTTTCTCCAGGGCCTGAGAGTAGCCATCCATTCTTGGTTTTGCTTCTGATTTCCTCTGTCGATTTGCATGCTTCGAGGTAATGTTGAATTCCTTCACGTTTTTTCCCTTTCAGTTGGTTTAGTATACGGGCTGAGATACAAAGGTCTTTTAAGAGTTTGAGAAGTCCGTACATGTTCATGTTTCCAATGTATCCATGGTTTGATACATTGAGTCCATATTTAAAGAAGTGTCTGAGTTGAGTTCCATCCGTTTCATATTGTTGTGATATTAAGTCGTTAATCTTTTTCTCAACATTTCTTTCGAACATTGGTATTGTTATGATGTTGTTTTTTATTGTGGTTACTTTACCATTGTGTCTTGAGATGTTGTTGACTTTTGAGCACGACATCCAAACGTATTTGCCGTTTTGGTTTAGAAGGTTGGCTACGAATGCTGCTGATGATGAATCTGGGTGCATTGTAAGATATTCTGGGATGATGTATGTGGTCGGACTGTTTTGAGTTTGTTTAACCATGATGAAGATGGCTAAGAAATGACAGGCATAGACATTTTCAGGATTCTCAATTGAGTAAAATTGAACCCCTTTATTTGTAATTACTTGGATTTTGTCGTTTTTCAGTTTGTATCCCGCTTGTGGGAAAATCGGGTGGGGAACTCTTTTGTTGTAAAAGCTTCTCATATTAGGTGCTGAGTAAAAAAGTGGAAGCGGTTTTAGTAGGTTAAGAAAATGCCATTGGTTTAGGTTTGTGGAGGATCGTAGAATAGCTTCAATAGCGTTTTGAAGCCAGACAATGAGGGGGTTTTTTAATTGCATGACAACTATTGGTGTCCATGGTGAGAGATGTTTTGGTGTTTGTGTGATGTCTTTGAGGAAGTAGTTTATACGGTTTTGGAGTTTTGTGATGAGATCACCATAGAGGTTGTTTTTGTAGAGGATATTTGGTGAGAGTGAGTGGAGTACTGATGATGTGTGTGCTTGTATTACGATCTTACTAACGGGTATGGGAAGTCTTCTTATTAATACTTTGTGTGATTGAATGAATTTTGAGTTTTCCTCAAGTATTCTGTCGATATTGTTTATTGTTGGTGTAAGATGCGGATATTTTCCTGCTAGTTTTCTGTGTGTCGGATCGTTGTATATTAGTACTTTAGTCTTTTCGGTGTTGAGTTTCAGGTTTGCTTTTGCTAGTTCGCTTTCAAGGATTTTTAGAGTGTTGTCTTTTTTGTCGGGAGTTGTTAATATGAAGATGTCGTCGGCAAAGGCTAGGACATTAATGCTTTTTGTCTTTAGGATCCTAATGACTTTGTTAAGTGCACAAATAAATAGTAATGGGCCGATGATCGAACCTTGAGGGACTCCTAAATGGTCTGGTTTGTATTTGTAGACGTTACCAACTTTGGTTCTGAGCCATCTTCCTGTTACAAATTGTCTCATCATGTTGATGTCCGATGTTGATAGATGAGGTTTTAGTTCATCAAAGGCGTATGTTATGTTAACAGTGTCAAACGCTTGTGAGACATCTGTGCAAATTAGAATTTTATCCTTTGTCCAATTCTCGCTAAGTATGACGTGCATGTCAACTGTGTTCAGATTCTGTTGATACGCAAATTGCGTTCGTTTGATGATAACTTCACTTAGGATTTTTATTAGACGTTTTGACAGGATTTCATCATAGATTTTCAAGAAATAGTTTGAGATTTTGATGGTTCTGTAGTTCCCATTTGGTTTTGGGATGAAGTGGGCTCCGTACACTAATAAGGATTGGGGAATGTATCCTTTTTTGAACGTTTCTGCTATTAGACGAATGAAGAGGTCTTTGTTGTTTTCCCAATATTTTGTCCAACCAAAGAGGGTAAAGTTATCGGCATGGCCAGATTGTTTTTTGAAGGACATTCTCTTGATGAGTTCAATTTCCTCGGACGTGAGACAATTTTCTGGCTGAGCTACGTTTGTGTAGGTGTAATAGGGTTTGTTATATGTAAAGCTTTCTAGGAGTTCGGTTAGGTTATTCTGATTTGTGTAGAGGGTTTCTAAAGTGTTTCGTTTTCTTGTTAGTTTGTTGATAACTTTCCAGATTGCTTTATGATCATTTAGGTTGGCTAGCATGAATTTTCTGGCTTTTCTCTCGATGTCTCGTCTAAGCTCTTTTTCCTTGTTTTGTAGGGTTTTTATTTCTGTCGCTATTTGGGTATTCTTACTGATAGATTGTCTTTTGAGTTTTTTTATCTGTTTTCTGAGTTTCAGTATTTTCTGGTTGTGTTTGCTTTCTATTCTTTGTTTTCTTTTGGTGAAAATGAAGCAGTTATTGGTTAGTCTTTTAAAGGTCTGATCTATCTCAAAGATATTGTCCATTTCTATTCTGGTGTTTATGATTGAATTTACTCTTATGTCTGATTTCTTAGCTCTTGTATTGCTGATGTAATTTTGGAAGATATCTGACAATTGAATTTCTACTCTTAGCATTTTGTGGTCTGAGATAACTTCATCTGATAGTTTGAAGTTTCGGAAATTACAATTTCCGAACATCAAATCTATCCATGAGCAATGGTCAGACTTGTTTTTGAAGGTGAAATTGTCTCTTGTCGGAGGATCATTGAAAATTTTTAGAGAATGGTTTCTTACGAAGTCGTTTAATCTAAGGGCGTCAGTGTTTTGTCGATCTTTGATTGACCAGCCTTCACATTCACAATTTACATCACTGGCTATCGCTATCGGAAAATGTATCACTTTTGTAATTTCACTGAGTGTTTTAGAAAGAAGTTCTTTTATGTTGGTTGGATTAATGTACGCACTACACACTATTATTCCTTTATTTCTTTTCGTAATTAGGGCAAGAATTAAGTTGGGTGATGAGTTGTCGTAGGCGAGGATATGTAAGTCGTTTGATGCCACTAGTACAGTCTGATCACTAATTAGGACATTATCAGAGCGTACAAAGTCTGATGAAACTTGTCGATTTGCTTCGACTATTGAAGATATTGAATTTGGGTTGCGTAGGCCTTGGATAATGAAGTTTTTTGTGAGTTCTTTTGATTTTGCTACATTTAAATGATAGAAGTTAATCCATTGGGAGGGTTGGGGGGAGGACGAGCCATTCTGATTCCAGGTGGATTCTTGTGACATGGTTATCAATGTATTTGCGTATTTGTGGACACTTTAAAGTAGCGGTTTTATGATTGTTGTTGGGATGAGTACAGGTGGCACAGATATTTTGAATATTTGTCGGAAAAGGGCAAGAGTTTAGGTCATGTGGTTGTGAACAGTTCTTACATTTAGTTGTATTCGTACAAGTATTGTAGAAATGGTCGATTCCCCAGCAATTTTCACACAAAGTGATAATGATATGGTCGTAAGCTTGGACTGTATGTTCAAAAAGTGAGATTTTAAAATCAGCATCCAATAGTTTACTTCTGTTGCGATTGCTAATGGAAAGTATTATTGTTGAGTGTCCTTCAGCATTAACAGAGATACCAGTTACTTTAGTTGAGTCATTCTCCCAATCGTTCTGGTTTATCAGGGTGTTTGTGATGCTCTCTTTGTCGAGTTGGTTTAGCTTGTCCGTGACTTTAAATCTTATGGCTGGTTGGGATATTGGTATGAGACGTAGATCCCAAGTTGGAAGATGAATGGAGAGATATTCTCGAAAAACTTCGATGTCAACTTCGTTGATGAGGATAAAGAAGATACGATCTTCTTCTCTTTGAATGTAGCGGAGTTTGGGTAAGAATTTTCTGATGTGATTAATAGCGTTGAGAAACACAGAGCGAAGAGTGTCAATATCACTTATATAATCTCCTCTTTCGTCAATACAGCGAACTTCGAGTCCAATCTTTTTCTTTATTCCTCGAATTGAGTACCAGTCTAAGCGTTTAGCTTGTAACTCTCTGAAAATTCTGTTTAACTGTTGAGTTGGAAACATAATGATTGGTTTGGTAGTCACGAAAATGGTTGATCACTTGTATTAATTTGAGAAGTGTAATATGATGAGATTGAGAGTTTGTGTTTCAGTTAGTAGCTTCGAGAATGTATCGGTTTTACGATATTAGAGTTGCAGATGTTTCAACACTTTTAATTTGCAAGAACTTGTTGGTTGAGAACTTTATTAGTTTGAGAATTGTAATATGATGAGGTTGTGGGTTACTGTTCAGTTGGTAGCCTCGAAAAAGTATCAGCTTTGTGATATTGGTGATGCAGATGTTTCAACACTTTCAATTAGCAAGAACTTGTTGTTTTTGTCGTTTGTTTATGTTGGCAAGTAGTAGTCAGAGGAATCATGAGTTATCGGAATGTTGATAGTTTTGGTTAAAGTAAACACAAGTGTTCAGAAAGGGTTCAGTTTTCTCGAGATGTTATGGTAGAGGGTAGATACTTTGTTTGTGATTGGTCGAGATTTTTTGAAATAAGAGGAGCGTTGAATTTCACGAGGAGGTGTTGAGTTTTAAGTCTTTTGAAGATAATAAGTTGGCGACTTAAAGTCGGATCTTCAGGTTTGAAGAGGATTAAGTTAATCCATGATTATACTATAGTTGAAATTAACTTTCTCCATTTCGTGCAGAAGTTTGATTCTGAAGACGGGGCAAATTTTATCGAAGGCACTATGTCCACTTTTGAAGCAGTTGGGGCACCTTTGTAATCTTTTCTCTTTTTTAGCTGCACAGATATCAACGTGGTTTTTACTGCAGTAGCCACATTTCGATATAAGTTGGCATTTTGAAGACATATGGCCAAAGTTGCAGCATCGATTGCATAGTTTAATGTCGAAGAAATCGGTTGTTTTTGCCATACAATAGCCAAGATTGGTTAATCCATGCTTTCTCTCAATACGTTCTCTTATTTGCGGCGTTACTTCAAGAATTACGTCATGATATTTATCTCTCTTATAGCAATAGAGGACTTTCACTTCTCCTGTCCAATTGTTACGAGTTTTAAGCTTGGTAAGCCAGTCATTCATGTCGGTGCTTTTGTCTGGATTGATTTTCGCTTTGTATATCCTAACTGTTGGGTTTCTTAGTTCCGGTATCTTAAAGGTCCAATCTGTGAGTTTGGTTGTTAGGAATTTGTAGAGGCGAGATCTGCTTGCAATGCTATCGCATTTAATTTTCAAGCTATCGAAGCCAGGTTCTATATCCATTATATTTCCTACATCCACAGCTATGTCTAGGAGTAAGTTTTCAATAGCTTCTTTCATCTTGGTTGGTACTGCTGAGTCTCTTTTGCGTTTCTTTGTTACTTGGTCATAGCTGTCGTAGATGTCCGTTCTCGCAACTATAACAGGCCAGATCTTGATGTCCTCAACTGTATACCATGATTCTGGTTGACCTAATTCAGCGAAACGTTGGCATGTTAGTTTTCTGATTGTTAGACAGTCCGTCCAAGGATTTGTAGTTTGGTTCTACAAATGTGAGGTCTTCACTTTCACTAATTCTGAGTTCATCCAAGAATCTCGAACATAGACCAATGTCTTCCGCGTCACTTTCTTGTAACCAATTTTCGTCATTCAGTAATTTTTGTAGACAATTAATGAAGGGCACATCTCTGATGCGGGCAGCAATCACTGGTTTGTTTTGCTCATTTATGTTACCAAAATGTTTGATAAATTTCACTATGGCAGCAAATTTAAGTTGATCGGTTATATTTAGGTTGTTCTGTAAGTAACGTGGTTAATTAGTAGGTTCGGTTTCGACTTTTCTTCGAGTCTATTGTTCAGTTTAGTAAGTATATTTGGTTTCATTCATTTTTGTTTTGGAAAATCTGTTCTTTTAGGATGCATGATGCGTCCTCAGTACGTTCAAGTTTTTTGTAAATAAAAAACTTAGTTTTCTTCATTGAGAAAAATCTTTTCAAAACTTACCAGAGTTAGTAGGTTCGGAATCGTATTGGAAGTCATGTCTCCTTGGCCTTAGGTTATCGTTTGGAAATCCTTTGTATCCTTAATTTCATCAGATTACGTTGGGTCTTTTGGATGGAAGGTTGATGTCAGCACTCCTCTGCTATATATTTCAAGAAAAAAACAAAAATTAAATTAAAAATGGTCAAAAATGGATAAAAATTAAATAAAAATCAAGAGATCAAAAATTTGCAGCCTCTCTCTTCCAGTTTGGTCATTTAATTCCTTTCTTCGCCATTAGATGCCACTATATCTAAGAATATTTGTGTTGCTTTTTTCTCTTTTATCTTTTCTCTCTTTCTTTATTCAGTTAGCCAGCCAAGCCTCGCTTTTTTTCTGTAGTTTAGCCAGCTTTAGCGAGCCAATTTTTTGTCTTCTGATTTGAGCTTGTGAATAGACAACTAAGTGGCTATTTGGGTATTTAACTGTTATTTAAAAGATTAATGACAATTAACCTAGTGTTAATAATTCAACTGTCTTATGTTCTTGTGATTATTTAGTTGATGAGGAATCTAAAGACACCAAAATGGCCTCTACCAGCATTGATATTACCGATGCAACAACCTCACAACCCACTGTCAGGTCTAACCTTGTGCTCCAAGACTCCGCTTCACTTTCCTATAACAATTGGAAGAAGACCAAGACCACGTCAAATGTTATCCAACAGCCGATCTACCGAGAACCACTGTACATGCTGTATGATGATTCTCATAGAGCCCGAGCAGAGGAGAATATTTATGAGGAGGTTGATTTTATGACTCTTTCCTCACTGAGAGCTCAATACGCAGACACGTTAAGCCTTCAAAGTTGGAAGAAAAAGGGAAGCAAGAAAACACTTTCAGGTACCTCATCATCTTCATCGTTTACACGTTGGTTTTCAACTCGTAAAAAAAATTCACCTACTCTTAGTAACGAGGAGGAAAGTGCTTATATGGATGTTAAACTATCTAAAAGACAGCGACCACCATTATGTTTGCCCTATATACCTCCTAGTGGATTAACCCAAGAGCAAATTAAACGGCGTTACATTGTTGGTTCCATAGTGGATTCAGAAAATTCCTATATTAATTCTCTACACCGTTTGATAGATGAATTTAAGAAACCCATGGAAGAAGCTACACCACCTATTTTGAGTCAAAACAAGATTAATATCATTTTTTACCGGGTCGAACAAATTTTACAGTGTCATACCATTTTTGGCATTGCTTTGAGTCAATGTGTCCGTGAATGGGATGAAAAGGAGAAAATTGGTGATGTTTTCATCAATTCCTTTTCCAAATCTATGGTTTTGGATATTTATTCTGAATTTATCAATAACTTTACCAATGCAATGGAAACTGCTCGCAAAGCATCAAAATCAAAATCAGCTTTTGCTCAATTTTTACAAGGCAAAGCTACTTCTAGTCCTGATCGTTTGAGCTTCTTTGGTCTTATGGTTAAACCAGTTCAAAGATTTCCACAATTTATCCTTCTCCTAGATGATCTACTTAAACATACACCAGCCGATCATCCTGATCGCATGTCCCTCCAATTAGCCCTGACTCAACTTGAATCTCTGGCTGACCGTCTAAATGAAAGAAAACGCGACTCGGAAAGACATTTCGCTGTTAAACAACTTCTCAAAGATTATCTTTCAAATTCAACGACAACCTCCTCCAATCGTTACCTTCTCCGAATGGATTCCGTTTATGTTCTTGACCTTGATGCAAGCACGGGCCTAGTGTTGAAAACAAAATGCCGAAAGCTTTACCTTCTCAATGATATGCTTGTGTGTGTCAGTGTTCCTTCAAATAGGTTAAAATTCCAAGCATCTCTTCAAGATGTGGATGTAATAGATGATGTTAAACCAGCAACCGACAATCTTATGGCAAACTCAGTCTTACGGACCAAAGGTTAGTTAACTTAAATTTAATCATAAAAATGCCGTCTATTTTCATCATCATCATCGTAATCTTCATTCATCTTCTCCTTCTCTTTCAATCAACACTTACTTTTTTTAACAAAATATTATCTTAACCTGTTTCCTCCTCTTCTAACACCCTACATTTTATTCTCAATCAAATTGTTTATACGTTACTAATTTATAAAAGACTTTTATCACTTTTCTGACTCAATTAGCTTCATGCTCATTCCATTTTCACTTGTACATCATTCTTTCAGATCTAATATAACATAGATGAGAGAGTGTTATGAGAAAGTCATCCCAAAAACTTGAGCATATCGCTCTTAACTACTCTTTCTCATGCCTCTTGACTCTCTTTTTTCAACTTAAACTTGAGCATTTCATACTTATTTATTTATACATTTATATATATACATTACATTTATTATCATTACCTTTTCTTGCACTTTTTCATTAACTTCTCTTTCCTGATAATCTGTCAAAATAATATCGAGTATCCGTGTGGACCGTTAAATTGACCTGACCCATTTTGTATTGTCTCACGATTTTTTGATTAATCCTCTAAAAGAATCCTTCAACCTTGGTGACGAGCCCTCAGGTTGATTATGAGTTAAACAAAATGATGATGACGATAATGATGAACAAACTTGAAACTTTTGTTATCAAATTTTTTATCAATTTTCATCAATCGTCTTCCCATCAAAAAACATTATATCATAACTTGGCAATCCTTTGTCATTCATTTCTTTGATTATTTCTCAGCTATTTGATTGAAGACTATAATATCGTTATAAAAATCCAGGAAAAAAAACATGTTGCTCAACAGAAAATCATTTTTCTCATTGTATCTTTCAATTTAATTTATCCTCGTTATCAGTTATATTAATTTCAACCAACCATTTGAACAAAAAATGAACAAAAAAGCTCATCTTTAGGCTTATTTTTCTTCCCTTTAACCAATCATTCATCATTAAGTCGCCATTATTCCACTCTTTACCGTGCTTTATTAGTTTTCATTAAATGCTGCAATTAGTATATTTATAATATTCAATTCCAACCACCATTAATCGGTGTTATTATCTAGTCTATGAAGCTAATCATCAAATTAGTCATTGTTTCATCCTTTAACCTCACCATGCCATAAACAAAAGATGCATGTCTGGTAACAATCAGCATTTTTATTCATCCTTAATGTTTTCTTTTTTTTATATTCTAACCTTTTCCGGTAAACATTCTGGGTGCAAAACAATTAACAATTTCATTTTCTTCTCTCAAATACCTTTCCATTTTTCTCATCATTCCATCTTCCTCTTCATCTACATCAACAAACCGCAAAGAAACTGAAAAGACATATTTATGAGTTTTTACCAATTTTCCGTCTCAAGTGATTATTGTTCCCTTTTCATGATTGTTTATTCAAAACAATCTAATCTTGGAAAGTTTTACACTCATTCAATTTCTTTCTCTCAGTTAACCGCTTATTTAACCATCATTGAGTTTATCAGGCTTGCTTTCACCAGGGTTTCATTTCAAACAATTTACTTAAAACTAGCGTCTAAACAATTATGCTACTGTCAGTTGAACCTTTGCATTGTTTTACTTGTTCCTCTCAAAATGTTCATTTGCTAATCTTCAACTGATCCTAAACTTTGATCAATTAAACAATTTAAGCTGATATTTCAATATTGTGCTCAGCATTGTTATCATTGTTTACTAAAGTTCATAAATAGCGTATCAATTTGTTAACGAAAGTGTAAAAATCATTAACATCTGGAAAGCAAGAACCGGTTAATAATTCAAATATCCAGTTTTATATCGCAACTCGTTTCACCCTTTTTCAGTACAATCACAAGTTTAATGGTACTATGTTGGTCAATGTTTTTTATCTTTCGCTTCTTCCGTGTTTTTAATGCTTTTTGCGTGGTAGGTAACATTTGCAAATAAAACGACCAGTTTCTGTCATTACTGAACATCATGAAATGAACGAAAATAGCCTTCAATTTAATTTTAAGTGCTAATATCTGTGGATTTACATCATCACTCATTACAGATCATTACTCCTAGCACTTGATCTGTTTCACCTTAAAATGTTTCACTCTTTTCCATCCATGAGAACTGTTAACACTTTTGATTTCACTAATTTTCTGAAAGTTTTTTTCTCTCTCTCAAAGATCCAAATCTTTATTGAATTCAGTGACAATTGATGCAAGTGTTGAACTTTTTTTGCAAACAAAAATCTCTTTACCTTCAATTTACTTGAGCTTCATGCTTTCATTCAATGCACGCACACGCGTTTAATGTGTTTACATGTTTATGTGTTTTCATTTGAATGTCCTGAAAAATTAACTTTTAAATATAACACAAATTAATGATAATTTAATGTGGGCATAATGTTTATACGCATCTTTTGCTTGCCTAAAATGCTCATATTGATCCCGTCTATTAACTGTTTTTGGCTTATCGTTTAGTCTACCATTTACCTGTTTTTACGGCCACTCAATTGATGTAATTGTTTAACTGTCGTCTCATCTTCATAATCAGTTGTAATCTGTTTGAGGTTTTGCAAGGTGTTTAACTGTGTGTGTGTGTGTTTAAAAGGAACCAGTCCTGAGGGTTTGTCACCAACCTTTCTCTCTCTTTTCAAGCGTAACTCAAACAGTAACATTGAGGAAGAGAGTAAAAGCATGAGATAATTGATGCACTTTTTCCCATTAATATTGTTTTCATCTCGATCATCCTAAACTCTATCCAAATTGTGCCTGTTGTTTTCATATTTCACTTGAAAACTCTGTCTAACTGTAATTTTATGATATCATAAATTCAAAAGGTTGACTTAAAATTAAACTTGAATTTCTCAGCCAATGACATTTATATTAGACTTACTTTGTTAGTTGAATAGATATATTTCACCAGCACAAATTGAATTGACATACATTCAGAGTATTTTTACTCATAATTGCATTTCTCATTGTTTATTTTCTCGATATTATTTACTTCTGTAGCCTTAAGCCGCTCAAAACTTTCAACTTAATTTCACAGTTTTTTCAGGTATCACTATTAGTATTACAATTCCCATCGCACCCTTTCATCTGTTATTTACGTTCATTTCAAACTTAATTAACTTTCATCATCAACTTAATTTGCTTTATTTTCATATCTTCCCAATAAGATCTGCTTTCAATGCTAATCTTACCAAACCTTAACTGTATCAATGCTGGTGAAAATCGAGTGTCATTACTGTAAAAATTGCTATAAAATATGATATTTTTATCTGATAACTTTTTAATTCCTAATTTATTCATTACAATCTTAACGGATTACAATTTTACCTAAACAATTACAAACTCATATAGAGATATCAATTATAGTTGACATGTTTTTTTCAACATTTGTAACTTTATAAGTTTATCCTTTCAATTACAATCAACTAATTTTAATTTTACGCTCATTTTTAGACTCATTTTTGGGTCACTTTTAATCAATGAGATAGTAAACTGTCATTATTTAGAGACAAGAAGCGGTAAAGCAATATTGGTGTGAAACATTTGGACTGATGATTTCAAAGTGTTCAGTTTGTAAGAATTATATCCACTTAGTATTCATTTATTCAACTTTTTACCTTTTTTACCTTGAAATTTGTTGAACTAAACTGTTTTACATATCAACTCATTTTAGGGGCTCAATGTATGCCTAAAATCGCATTATTACGCTTCCATATAATCATTTTGTTCAGGTTACATTTTGGTAAATATCATTAAAAAAAACCTGATTCTGAATATTAAATACATTTCCATTGTATCTATGCATCAACACATGAAATGTTTTAATTGATCACATTGACATCTTGAGTTACCTTCATGAAACCTCAAACTTTCACCCAAACTATTTTTTATTACATATTTGATAAAACCATAAACTTTTCCCTACCACTTATTGCCTTTTCAATCTAACCTTGGGTTAAACTTTCTCACCTTAAAGCAAAGGTATCTTAATTAATTTGCTCATTTGATATCAAGTTTTGCATCTCATTTTTATATCATGTTTTTGTTGAACACAAAATGCTCATTTTACTTACAATGAGACCATTTCGTGGATACAAAATTCAACAAGAAAATTGCTTACCTTATCTATCATCTTCTCATGTAACTTACCTTTGAAGTATTTCATTAGGTGTGTCACTGATGATCCAAATCTTAATTTTTCTTCTTCTTTTTTCAACACAAAATTCATTTTATTTTGCCATTTCTGTAATAATAACGGTTAATGAAGTCACCTTTATTCCAACCTTATTTTCAATCAAAGACATGATAAGTTATAGCAATATACTTTGCTGTATAATTTTTGTGCAACAATAAATGGATATAATTAACAGTATTACTTTCATTTTTCTCATCATCATTATCCTCCTCTGTTCACACCATGACTTGAAATTCATTCATAATGTTCATTTTTTTCAATCATCATTTAGTCTATTGAAAAAGGTAAACAGTGTTTTTCAGTGCGACACTTTTCAACCCAAGTGACACATTGAAGTGTTTGTTTATTAATTGCTAGTTTATCATTTCTCTGGCTTTATCCTAAACCTCATCTTAATAGCTTCAACCTAATTTGATATTTTAAATTGTTAATGCAAGCTTTCATTTGATGAGTTGCCACCTTTTATTACCTCCTATTGTTATCATCTCTTGTCTCGGCCCTTTATAAACCTTAAATTGTTGAATTAATTAACTTTACCACCTTTAAAATTAATTACCTTGTTATCAAAATATTCAATTGCGATTCTCAGACTATTGTCATTATCATTTCAACCAACTTTAACTTTTTAAATGGAAACATTAAATTGATGACAATTACTAAACTTGTTATTGTATATGCTAATGAGTCCAATTTAAAAATCTTGACCAGTTGTGCATGTTGACTGAGCAAGTTATTAAGTTATCATGTTTGACTTACAAAACTTCAATCATTACCCAGTTGATAACCATGATG